GGCGTAAATATTTATTAGTTAATAAGGAAATGCGTTGGTTGTTAGATATTGCTTAGATTGTAATTCCCTCGCTTTTGCCCGCGGTATGGCAATTGTCGTGGTAAAAAGTAGTCTATGTTACTCGCTGATAATGTAGCTTTCCATTGGTGAAATAGTAGTTTAGGCGTCAAAGCCACAACAAACAAACCCACTACTTTTATATTTATAATATACTAGCTTTCGCCCGCGGCTCCGCGCCCACATTTTTGTCGGTTATCGCGATAAAAACTAGTCCTTTATCAAGAATCAAACTATCTCCACACCAAAATTCATCTAAATTGGTGTAATGGTTATTTACTCCCCATAGAAACTTCCACCCCTCTTTTACCACTTTAAAGGATCATTTCTAGGATAAAAACTACCCTATGTTCTTCCCCGTGACTCTGACTCTCACTATACCAAATTGCATCTAAATCGGTTCAGCGGTTTAAGCGTGAAGACGTAACTGACAGACAGACAGATAAGTATTGATTAATGAAAGTGTCTCATATTATCTTGTCTACATTTAAAGCATTTTACGTCTTATACTCGTAATAACAACAAAAAGAATTCATTAGCCGTTGGCTCTATTTAACACTAATTCTGAAGTGAATGTCAATTAGTCATGACACAAAAGAAAAATCATTCAAATTTAATAAAACATAAGCTATTTATTTTATGTTAGCTGTTACTATACCAATAAAAATCCATTTGCCGTGACCAAATTCGATTCTATACAAAAATTAGAAAACTTTTCTTTCATAACTTTTATTGCAGCTGTGCTTTATAAGCGGTGCCACTTAAAGTCTTATAATTACATTACAATTGGCCAAGCCGGACCTCAGACGGTAACTTTTTCAGTAAGGATTCTCATTGATGAGGGTATAATAGTCAATTAATTAAATATTAAAGAGACGGCCAATCTGGAACAGTGGACCTTAAAAATTGACCTTTTATATTGTGGTCTAAGTCATAAGCAAATAGGCAATGAGCAGTACTAAAATCAATTATTACTTCTTGCATGTGCTAAACATAATATTTTTACCCTGCAAGCCTTTGCTGTGGTACATTGTAGTTGCAAAATATGAATAAAAACCATCTTTGAACTTAATCAGTTTTGTACTTTTTGAGTTTTCAAAGCGTACACAAATCAACCTAACATTTATCTCCCCATATAACACATATCTACTAACTATTGTTTTAGTTGAAAATGATAAAATATATTAAATAACTATGTTATAAATAAGCATGTTATATAAATATCTGTCGTTTAACTTAACGAATAGTTTCTTTTCTTTATTGATATGTTACATCTAGCTTTCCTACAACATTTAAGAGTAATTTCGTGAAAAAGGGACGGAAGGGTGTAACATGATCGATGTTTTAAAATTGGCCATCAGTTAGTAGGTGTTATACATCCTAAGCGGCCACTGTAACAATCGCTCGTTTTTTAATGTGATTCATGTGTATTGCTTGATGAATATTTCATACTTATTTCAACTTAATGAAAGTAGAAATTTTACAGTGTTACAAATAATACTTTCTTTGTTTTCTACTATTTAATTCAGATAAATGTTTCTAATATTTTTCTAGAAGTAATCTCAAACCAGTCTGTCTTGTAATTATTTATTTTGGGGATTCACGCAATCAAAAGGCATTATAATAGGTCTAATGAGTCTGAGACCATGGGTAATGCTGGACGAAACATAAAATACCAATAGGAATAAATATGTTTACGGGCTCGTTAGCACGTTAATTCCCGTAAATATGATAATGTATATGTTTTCGGACGTGATCTTTTAAAAGATAGTAAAACATCAAATAAATTAAAGAAATGTACGTAATGCCTATTGATCGCGTTTATATTTTAGTTGATAATTATATACCATGGAAAGCAAAAGTTTAAAAAAAAATACGGTCATTTTAACTTTAAATATATTCAATCAAACAAAATATCAGAAATGAGATAAAGTACAAAACCACCGGTTTTTAGTCGTGTCATCTTAGTAAGCACATTAATGAAATGTTCAGATATCTTACAGCTTGGGTCACCCTTTTACGAGCTGCACCATTTCGATTATACAGATAATGGACACTTAAGAGAAAGCACTCTCGTATAAAACGAATAAATGAGCTCCTAACGAACTTAGAGGCTCCGTAATTCCTCGATACAGACTTAATGTGAGAGAAATGACACCGTTATGTATAATTATTTATATATATATGTATGTATATACATACATAAGTCGGCTGCAATTAGGAGGCATTTCGCCAAACGGGGTGTTGTGTTATCATCCTAAAAATAATAGTAAAAAAAAAAACTAAAAGACACGCGTTTTATAGAAAACCAAACTAAAAAATAAACAATAAATTTTAAATTAATTTGAAAAAAAAGCGTTGGGTGTCTGTTGTCAATAGTAAAAAGGACCCCACGCTTTTTTTTAATTTATTAAAATTTATTTTTTAGTTTGGTTTTCTATAAAAAGCTGTTTTTTTCATTAGTGTATTGTCATCGGTCCTCGATATATGTACAAAGTTTGAACAAATTCTGACCGTTTAAAGTCAGCCAAAATCACGCCCAAAGGCATCGGTTACAAACAAACATACAGGTGAAGCTAATAAAAAGCGTGTCATATAAGTAAGTAGCTAGAGATAAATTTGTATGTGTTATGAGAGTGTCTCGACACAACTACCCACATTTTGAAAACTATAAATTTAAATCCAAGTCATATAATAGGGACACGCCTTTTACAATTAACGGGTCTCATTAGGAAGTAATGATGATAAGATGATTAGGACTATACAGAAGATAGGTGAAAAGAAAAGGCAATGACAGGTAAAAGAGATGCTTATACTTATGAATGGGAGAGTGGATCTGTAACAACAACTGGTTGTTTTTGTTTTTTTTTTTTTTATGGCATAAGAGGGCAAACAAGCAGACGGGTCACCTGATGGTAAGCAACTACCGCCGCCCATGGACACTTGCAACTCAGAAGTCCCGCTCGAGTCAGCCTTGGGGGGGATTTGGGCTCCAGCAACCTCACTCAGTGAAAGGCAACGAAAGAATTGCTTAGCATTTCTGTGAGGCCATGGTATCACTCCGGTCGAGCGGACCCATTCGTGCCGAAGCATGGCTCTCCCACGGCTAAGAAGTCCGAATCCTCTAATCTATTAGAGCTTATATTATAGCTATATTATGACGTGTTATCCACTGAGTTGTAGCGTGATATTACCATAAAACTTCCTCAATAATAACGGTATTACATTTAAAAATAATCTTCATAATCCAACTGGCAGTTCCAGAGACTCGCGCGTTTAGCAAAAACAATAGTTTTTAATTTTGATACTGTTATGTAGAAATGTATTCACACACACATCACATCAACAGCCTTTAATAGTCCGTTCCTGGACATAGGCTTCTTTTTAGATGTACCTCGTCTGCGGTATTCCCGGATGGATACGATCTTCAAACCTTCAAGTAATGAGTAATGACTCCTGAGTTGCAGTCGTTCATGGGCGGCGGTAGTCGCTTTCCATCAGGTGACCCGTCTGATGGGTTTTAGACCTTCCTCTTCAATAAAAAAGGAGGTTTTGTCCTACTATAAAACGCTGGTCAGACGAATTGGCAAATGTATTCAACTGTAGGCAATCATTTTGGTTTTCGAATTATTTTTTTTTGAAGACAACTCCCGCATTAGGAACATATCCTGTGTCGCGAGGGACTTTACAAACATACATGAAACGGACACAAAGAACACCCAGACTCAGAACAACAATTTGTGGATCACACAAAGTGTCGTCCCATGTAGGGTCTGATCCCACAACACTCGGCGCAGCAGAAAGCGGCGTGGCGACCGATTAAACGACTACGCTTTCCGTGCAGTCAATTATCTCCATTTTATTGTGACTATAACCCCCTTAACTACTAAGTAAATACAATTTTATTTTGCAAAATATAAAGTTTTAATATTCAATATTTCTAATCTTTGCAGGTGGCAGGTGTTGTTGGGAGAGCAGACGTTCTGGCTTGTATCTTCTTCCTATCGTCGGTACTTCTATATCATGGGTAAGTTTTTCCTTTTTCCATACTACAAAAGTAACCATTTTTGTAATCCAAAGTTTCTGAGACCTGCTATACAAGCACGCAATCAAGAAAAGCTTACATCAATGACGCGTAGTGCTCTGTTGTGGTCTTCCTAAAAAGCCTAGAAGTTATTGTACCTGTAAAAATAATTTTATCATTAGGAGTAGGGACTAGGAAATCTCTTCTAGTTATCTTCCTAAAATAACTATTTAAGATTTATCTGTAAAATGTATATTCAAAACAACTGAACCCTAAATTACTCGTAGTTGGTCGGCTGTATAATGTAACTTCAAACCTTTTATTTTATAAAGGCACAAGTCTGAAGATGGCTACCTAAACATTCTGCGAACTGTTTGGTTCAGAAGTTCTGGGATTGTTGACGTTTGAATGTCACTGTTGGTAATGCTAATATTTATGCACATTAATAAAACAGCTAACTGCTTAAACACCAATAGTATAAGCAGAGTGTGAACCACTTTGGTTTAGTGTATTTCAACAATGATTTAGTTTGGTAATAATTTATTTTAACCCTCCAAAATGTTCAATGTGCACAAATTAAAAAAAAATGTTCAAATTAAAACGAGACTAGTTCTGCCTTAATTTGTAGTCGTGCTCTTCACATTTAAGTTTAAACAATATTCAATTTTGAACCAGGAATTTAATACAAATTCATTTGATTCATTTTCGTACTGTCGGTTACTAAAATTAAAATATTACAGTTATATATTTTTATTTTCTAATACATAGATAAGATTGTAAAATCAGATGCCTGTTGCCAAGGGAATATTTGGATAAACCCATGATAGGCATGCACACTAGACATTTCCGATCATTCGCAATTTAAAAAAATGCAGTATTAAAAGAAATTACTATCACTATTAATAAATTACTCTAAGACATGAACAAGGTTACGAACAAACCCAATAACAATCTTCAATCTATACTAAATAACATTAGTATTATGAAACATAACCGCAGCGACACTTCAACTTGTCCTACTTCGCTAGACTTGTTCAAACTTGGCAATCTTGGCTGGTTGTTAGTTGAACGTTTTGACTGGTATTGGATATTCGCTACTTCTGTCAAAAAGTACATGTATTGTTCTAAACACCTTCTTACTCGTTTTCTTATTCGTTCTACTTTATAACTTTACGTTTCTTAATTGTTGAACAGCGTTGAGAAATTAATAATGAAATCTATTAACTTACTAACAGACTGCTGTGTGTGAGATGTGTGAAATTTAAAAGGTATCCCAGCAGTAATAGATTATCCCATAACTAAGACGATATGTTACAGCGTCTGTACCATACTCAAAAGCAGAAAAAGTTAGTACAACTATTTCACCGCGTTCAAGAAAGAAAGTTCTGCCTCGTTTGTTTCGTTGCAACTTTTGTATTCGAAATAAGATACATTTCTAATAAAAGGTTTATATTTACTTAAAATGATTTGTCACTTACTACGAGGGAGCGTTTTTGTGTTCGCAGAATGGGGGATAAGGGGTGGAAATAAAAAAAACAAATTATTTTTCCTTTTCAATATATTCACCTGCAAGACGGATGCATTTTTCAGATCTTTCAATTAATTTGTTTATACCCTCATAAAAAAATGTTTTCTCTTTGTCTTCAAAATATGCCGAAACTGCCTCCTTGACTTCATCATCGTTGGTAAATTTTTTACCCCGCCGCTCTTTTTTCATTTTTGAAAACAGGTAATAATCGCTGGGGGCCAGGTCTGGGCTGTAGGGTGGGTGATTCAAAATATCGAAGCCCACCTTATGCAGGGCAACCAACGCAACGCGGCTTTTGTCAATTTTCCCGGTCTTTTCTCTTTAATGGCTTCTTTGAGTCGCTCTTATATTGAAGCGTAGTATTCTCCGGTTATAGAAACACCTTTATCTTTATAATCGATCAATAACATTCCTTCTGAGTCCCAAAAGACCGTTGCCATGAGTTTCCCAGCTGACTGTGACACCTTAAACTTCTTGGAAGGTGCTGTGCCCTTTTTATGCCACTGCATGGAGTCTTGTTTCGACTCAGGTTCATAATGATGAACCCAAGTTTCGTCTCCAGTAACAATTCTACTCAATACAACATCCTTGCCTTCATTACAATGGTCTTAAATTGCACGTGAACACTCTACGCGCAGTTGTTTTTGCGTCGGCGTGACCATTTCTGCGAGTTGTTTCTTCTTTAGTCGAGCATCGTCCAGTACAATTTTTTCGACTTTTTGGATAAGTTCTGGCGTGATCACCTCGATGCTCCTGCCCGGACTCGGGTCGTCTTCAAGGGATTCCCTTCCTTGTTTAAATAAACTGTGCCATTTATACACCATGGTTTTTCCTGGACAAGAGTCGCCGTATACCAATGACATCTCATTCATTATGGTCGCAACTGATTTTCCTTGCTTGGTAAGGAACTTTATAACGGCACGATATTAGATTTTTTCCATGTTTCACTTTTCACTCCCGATTATGTTGCTTGGTTGACGATAACTCAAAGACTAATTGTCTAAACACAATGAAACCTAGTATTTATACTAATTATGAGTCACTGAACACGTGACGATTCTAATGAGCCTAATCACCCCCTCCAACCCTCTCATTCCGCGAACTTAAAAACGCACCCTCGTACAATACTCGTATTTTCAAAGTAAGCTAAATAATTCTCGACTAGTCCAGAAAAATAAATATCGATATCAAAACTCAGTATCCGCTTGGTTACGTTTTAGCGGAAATCGAATAGAAATTTATCAAAATAATATTACGAAATATTAAATATGGAGACAGAAATCGGAACAAGTCTGCCGGTTACGATTAGCGATTAAATTGCTAATGAGACTGTATCTCTTCGTAAATAACGGAATACCGATAATAAGTTAGGGACCGTAAAGAATTTATGTCTTATTTTATTCGATGGAGCTTATCCGGCAAACTCTTGAAACAGAATTAGACAGTTATTGGTTTTTTGAAGGAAGTCTTTATTTGTAAGTTCTAATACATCACTTTAACTTTTTTAAGTGGATTAAGTGGCAGCGTTTTATGCTTTGGCATTGTTAGCTATGGAAAAGTTCGAGTTTAAAACAAAAATAATTGAGTTTAAAGATTGAACTTATTATTCCCAGACCTGACTAATAGATTTAGCCAGTCCGATTTTGCTTTTTATCATGGTATTGGTCAGCACGTAAAGATGCATACAAAAGCGGTATCATTCAATGTTGAATTTGAGGCGAAAATATCGATTTTTTTAATTTTAGATCAGTAAATACTACCGTTTAGTTGGTTATATATGTATATTGTTTCATATTGTGGATAGACTAACACAGAATTAAAATATTCCAGATCATCAGGACGTCACCGAATCTGGTCTAGCGTTGCTATGGCTGCCCTCAGCATGCTCGCCAAAGAGACTGGACTAACTGCTCTTCTGTTCAACGTAGCATTTGATTTGTACAGATGTTGGAACACCAACAGGTAATTCTTTAAATGTGAAAAGTTGTCTTACTTTAGACTCAAGAGAGAGGAGTGGCCTACAATGGGCCGATTGATTGATTGAATGTTATTTTAGCATAGTATATACTAGTATATAGCTTATGTGATTGTACTTCACTTTTAATTTTAGTTCAAAAAGGTATTGGTAATAGTAAATTCAATCAATCTTTGTTGAATGTATGTCATATAAATGCCCAGAGTGTTCCCAGTCATTTTAATGATTTGACTGTAACTTTCACCGACAACAACGTTCATGCCGTACTGATTTCAGAGACTTGGCTCAAGCCGCACCTATCTTCTTCTTCTTTTTCACTGACTGACTTTGTACTTATTCGTAATGATCGAATAGAATCAAAAAGAGGCGGTGGGGTTGCCATCTACCTCCGTAGCTGTTTACCTTATAAAATCGTCGCCGCTTCTGCTTCCGATCTTTCTACTACCGCTGAATACCTATTCCTTGAAGTTCGTGTCGGAAGATCTAACGTATTACTGGGTGTAGTTTATTGTCCCCCTGTTGTTAGCTACTTCTCCAGTCTGGAAACAGTTCTGGAATCTTTAGGGTCGGAATATGCACATCACATCATTATGGGAGATTTTAATACCGATCTTCTAGCGATTAACTCTCCCCGTACCCGCAATCTCCATCACATCATCCAATGCACCAGCTTCCACGTCCTCCCCCTTCAAGCAACTCATCATAATATTGAGCACCAGGATACTTAGCCTGACCTAATGCTCACCTCTGCTCCTAACCGGGTCCACTCCCATGGTCAACACCCTGCTCCTGGATTGTCCCATTATGACTTGATCTTTCTCTCCTATATCCTAAAACCCCCAAAATTTTGCGTATGCGTAGCTTTAAGCGAATGGATGTCGAAAAACTGTTTTCAGATGCCTCCAAATTAGACTGGACGAACTTGGCAGCGGCCACTGACATAGACGACAAGGTCAGGATATTCAACGCAGTTCAGAACTTGTATGACGTTCACGCACCTGTTAGGCAAGTTAAATTAAAGCGGCCTCCCGCTCCATGGATGACAGAGGAAGTACGAATGGCCATGAGACGGAGAGACCATTATTTCAAAAAATACAGGAGAAACCGCTGTGAAGAGAAATGGAACCTCTTTAAGACTGCGAGGAATCGGTGCAACCAGGTGATACGTAACGCAAAACGCCGTCATATTCTTCAAAATATAGAAACCTCTTCGTCTTCCAATATGTGGAAGTTTCTTGGTACATTGGGCATTGGCAAACAGCAGCGCCCTGAGGTGAGGATGACAATTGGTCTAGATGATATCAATCGTCACTTCTCGTCCGCACCTCAGCTGGATCATCAAACCAAGAGTCAAACCTTGAACTATATTGCTGGTCTTGCCCGACCCAATATTGAATCCTTTAGCTTTTCTCCGGCATCTTCCGAGGACATCAAAAAGATCATCCTGTCTATCCATTCCATTGCTATGGGTTGTGACTGCATCAGCCGTCTTATGATTGTCACTATCTTGGATCAAATTCTTCCTGCAATAGCCCATATCATTAACTTTTCACTCGACTCCGGCAATTTTCCCTCAATCTGGCGTAAGGCTTTCATAATCCCTTTGCCAAAAAAAAATTAACCCTTCTCTCCCTGAACACTATCGACCTATTTCCATACTCCCTTTTCTCTCAAAAGTGCTTGAGGCTTGTGTACATAAGCAGCTATCGCAGTTTGTGTACCAGCAGAAGCTCCTTAGCCATTTACAATCTGGATTCAGACCTGGTCATAGCACAATTACCGCTCTCCTAAAAGTGACTGGCGATATTAGGCAGGGTATGGAGGACACCAAAGTCACAGTGCTGGCTTTGATTGATTTCTCGAATGCCTTTAATACCGTCAGTCACGATGTTCTGCTATCCATCCTTTCCTATCTTATGATCTCCTCGGAAGCCCTGGAATGGTTTTCCTCCTATCTTCAGGGACGACAACAGTGTGTTCGTATTGACGGCTTGTCATCGAGTTGGTGCGATCTTTTCACTGGCGTCCCTCAAGGCGGTATATTATCTCCGTTATTATTTTCAATTTTTATTAATCTCGTAACCCAACACCTTCAATGTGCGTATCACCTGTATGCGGATGACTTGCAAATTTACGCCCAATCGAGAGTTGAAGACATATCACACGCCACTGATAAAGTCAACAAAGATTTGGACTTCATAAGGAGCTGGTCGATGAGGTTTGGTTTATCGGTTAACCCAAGCAAATGTCAAGTGATCGTCATAGGTAGCAAACAGATGTTAAATAGGTTGGACATGACGGCCATACCACCAGTTGTTTTTAACGACATAATCATACCTCTGAGCCCAGTGGTTAAGAACCTAGGGCTACATATTGATTCGACACTTGACTGGAGAGCACAAGTCACCCACGTCAGCCAGCAAGACACTACATGTCTTCGCGCCTTATATCGTCTCAAGAATTTTCTGCCCACTAAAACCAAGGCTACGCTTATGCAGTCCCTTATTACTCCCTTAATCGATTATGGTGATGTGTGTTATCTTGACCTGAATGCAGACCTCCTCAATAAACTAGACCGACTTCTTAATAACTGCATTCGATTTGTTTTTAATCTTCGCAAGTATGACCATGTGTCTGCTTTACGTTCCCAACTGAAATGGCTCCCGATTCGTCAACGCCGCAGTCTGCGCGCACTAACATATCTTTTTTCTTTTCTTAATTCCCCATCGGTACCTGAGTACCTGGTTCCCCATCTCCGCCTCCTTTGCTCCAATCACGACCGAAATCTTCGATCAACAAATAATATGCTTCTTCTTTGCCCCCCTCACACTTCCAACTTCATCAATTCTTCCTTCTATGTACAGTCAGTTCTTCTCTGGAATGCGCTCCCACTTGAAATTAGGATGTCCACTAACCGGTTTACGTTCAAGAAGAAAGTACAAGAACTTCTACAAAATAAGTTGGCAGAAAGGTCACATCGCTAGTACCCGACTATGTGTTTTGATATTTATGTATTTATAAATGTGTATATTCATCTATTGTATGTGTATACTTGAGACCTCTATGTATATATGTAGTTATGAATATAGTATTATATTTATAGTATTTATAGTAGTAGTGTATATATGTAAGTTAGATTTATCCTACATTAATAAGTTTAATACAAACAAGTAATATTCTCTGTTTTCTCTTGCACCTACAGCTTCATTTTTCTACATCACCCGAAGGTCGACTGGCAGAGAATGCCTTGGGCATTAAGTCCGCCTTTGTACAACTAGTGCATTAAGTTAAATAGATAAATAAATAAAATAAATAAATTACCAATAACTTTATATTACCAATATAATATAAAGGTAATATAATATAAAATATAATAAAAAGGTAATATACTATAAAGGTATTGGTAATAGTAATTGTATAAAGGTATTGGTAATAGTTAACATTACTATTGAGGAGTTAAATACTATTGGGAATTCAACGAGTCGTTTACTAACGACACGAACATTTAAAAAAAAATTGGTAGTAAAATGTCCGTCAAAAATTAATATTTAAATCAAAAGAAAAGTTTGTTATGAAATCATCTACTATAGTCCATCAACGTCGTGCGCGACCGTCCTGCGGGGTGAGAGACGGTGGCGGGGACGAGGTACTCAAGATGTCAGCGTTTAGCGGGTGGTGTAGTGGGGAAGGGAATCGTGTGCAGCCGTGTGCTAGAATGACGCGCTACTTCGCCCCCGCCACTGTCTGTCACCCCGCGGGACGGTTGCGCACGAGATTGCCGCGTTATAGGTCCTAATTTTTGCTTCTACCCACATGTCATAATATTATATTTATTGACTTAATACCTATACTCGAAAGTGTCATCTATAACAACGTACAATTCTGAATTCAAATGTAAATTTGCATGATGGCTGATCATCGAAGCTCTGTTATGTTATTGGATGGCTTGATTTCGTCATTTTACTCATCTACAACGTTCATTACTCCTCAAATACTCATTTATCTTTTTCCTTTAGTCATGACTAAATATTTCCTAGTGTTAAAACCCATTTTCAATTTGTCCTCTAACTATTCCAGATTGTCATCTACAGTGAAATTACGATGGAGAAGCGACAGCTCATGCGGTCGAGTCATTAGAGCTTTGGCTGCTCTGGTTCTTCTTGCTGGAGCTAGGCTGGCATTACTGCAGGGATCCTTACCGGCTTTTTCGCCTCAAGATAATCCTCCAGCATTTCACCCTTCATTTAGCGTCAGGTATAATAATATTATAATTCACACAACGCCCTCTAGTCTCAAACTAAGCAGAGCTTGTACTATGGCTACTAGACAACTGATATAAATACATATTATATACTTTTTTTTCGTAAATACATACATATTATACATAGAAACACCCAGACCAAATCAAACATTGAATGTTCATGCACACAAATGTTTGACTTGAGCGGGTATTGAAATCGCGACCTTTGGAATAGCAGTCCATTACACAAACCACTACGCCATCCGGTCGTCTAAGGGTCGTCTAAGGTATGTATCTATATTATAAAGATTTGTTTTATTTAGGGGGGTAGTCTTTGAAACTACTGAACCGATTCTCTAAATTATTTCACTAATATGTAGTTGCATTACCCCTGTGGGTTTCCACATGTAAAAAAAATGGGCAGGCTATAATTTTTTTATTCATCGTCCATATTTACGAGCGGAGCCGCTGGCAGCTAGTAAATAATAACGTCAAGTATATAATCGAATAAATCACAATTCACATCTGAATCTCATGATACATTTTATTTAAATGAAATATGAGGAACGTGAAACAGTGGAATGACCACAAGATCGAACAATCCCTAAATTTTGATTCATTAAATATCAACAGCAAGAGCTGCTTCTAAAAAATGAGGATTACTGTTTTACTTTTGTTTTTTTTTATAAGAATAATCATTTTAATAAAATAACTCTAGTTAGTTTAAAGCTTTCGCGTTCATTTATCTATAGTTATTACTTCTGGAATTGACGTTTACACCAGGTTGAACAGGTGACAATCAAATCATCACATCAACAGCCTATACTAGTGCACTGCCGGACATAGGCCTCTCCGTAGAAAGGAGGTTTTGGCCTACTATACCACGCTGGCCAGACGGGTTGGTATAGGGTTTGTTTCAAGTTTTCCTTCTCTTTGCAGTGCTGTTGTCCTGCTTAGTTTGCCCCCTTAGTCGGCTCTTACGACACCCACGGGATGAATTGGGGTGGTGACAATTTGTATTCTTAATCTTAATCTTTACTTTTTATGTATAAATCTTTTATCACTTAAAGTCCAAATCCAATTTATTTTTACTAAATATTTTGTGTCATAAATACCGCTTATGTTCTAGGTTGATGACCTTTTGCTACCTAGCAGCGTTCAACTGGTGGCTGCTCCTGTACCCCTGGACGTTGAGCCACGATTGGCAGATGGGCTCAGTACCACTTATCACTAGCTGGTGGGATCCAAGGAACCTGCTCACATGTGCGGCGTTTATAGCATTGCTGGCGCTTTCGTATAGATGTTTAGTTGACTTGGAGGTAAGGTTATACACTAGATGGCTGTCAAGCAGTTGGTACATTTAATGATATTTTGACTCTTCAGTTGTAGGTGACCATGGGCGGCCATAGTCACTTACTATCAGGTGACCTGTCTGCTCAGTGCCTACAATACCCAAAGGATAGTAATTGATTAATCTTGAGTTAAAAAAATCTCTCTTCCTTGGTCTAAAAAAGACACAGATTTTTACATTTTATATACCTAACATTTACAATGTTATACATTCTGAATTGGTGTAATTACGACAGTTGGTTAATACTATAATAGTCCACTGCTGGACATAGGCCTCTCCTTAGAAAGGAGGTTTTGGCCTACTATGCCACGCTGGCCAGACGGGTTGGTATAGGGTTTGTTTCAAGTTTTCCTTCTTTTTGCAGTGCTGTTGTCCTGCTTAGTTTTCTCCCTTAGTCGGCTCTTACGACACCCACGGGATGAATTGGGGTGGTGACAATTTGTATTCTTAATCCGTCACCATACGGACAACGGATATAAATGTATATAAATTAAATAAAAAATTAAGTGTCTGTTTTTGATGTCAAAATAATAGATTTTTTAATGGCCACACGGTTATTTCCACGATATAGGTATCTGTAAACATTTTATGTCTGTCTATCTTTCTGTTTGTTCCAAGTAACCTTCAAAACAGCTGGACCGATTTCGAAAAGGAAAACTTTATAAAATTTTGCGAGGCCCGGTAATCTAACCCGAGGCCTCAAGGACTGCAGTCGCCTAAATTACTACACCACTAAGGCATTGCTTTTCAAATTCCACGCAAACGAAGTCACGGTTACCTGCTAGTATATAAATAAAATAAATTAAACCACCACTATGCAAAGCAAATTTGGGAAAGCACTCACCGCTTGCTAGGATTGTTCATCAGTACAACACTCGTTCATGTTACTCGGGATACATAGATGTTTTCTCAAATACTATCATCATCACATCATCACATCAACAGCCTTGAATAGTCCACTGCTGGACATAGGCCTCTCCTTAGAAAGGAGGTTTTGGCCTACTATACCACGCTGGCCAGACGGGTTGGTATAGGGTTTGTGTAAAGTTTTCCTTCTTTTTGCATTGCTGGTGTCCTGCGTTGTTTTGCGCCCTTAGTCGGCTCTTACGACACCCACGGGATGAATTGGGGTAGTGACATTCCGTATTCTTAATCCGTCACTACACGGTCAAATACTATAAATCTTTAATTTACACACAGCTCACCAGCACCAACTCAAACACTAATTAACATGTACTGCCATGTTCACATTGCAGTTACAACGTCACACTCCTGCAGTAGTTGGACTAATGCTGCTTGTGATTCCATACCTGCCAGCCTCGAACCTTCTCGTCACTGTCGGATTCGTAGTGGCGGAACGAGTGCTTTATATACCCAGGTAACGCTAGATAAAACAAATTTTATAAGTTTATGATAATAATTATTATATGTATATATTTCATCAATCATCAACAGCCTATAACAGTCCACTGCTGGACATAGGCCTCTCCTTAGAAAAGGGGATGAAATGGGGGTGGTGACACTCCGTATTCTTAATCTGTCACCTTAGTATCTATTTAGTAGCAGTAATATATATTTAGTATCTAAAAATATGCAAAATTGTTCCAATGGATAATATTTTCAACGGAGTGGCAATACAGATCTCTTGAACTACATCCGATTTTTATTTAATTGACTAACGAGCGACGACTATCGACTAGCGAGATACTAAGTAAGCAAGAATTAACTTTATTTGTTACTAGCTGACCCGCGCAACTTCGTCTGCGTCTCTCAATAGTAATAAATTTTCTCCGTTTTTGAAACATTCTTCATTGGTGCTCCGCTCCCATTGGTATATAGCCCCATATATAGCCTATAGCCTTCCTCGATAAATGGGCTATTTAACATTGAAAGAATTTTTCAAATCGGACCAGTAGTTCCTGAGATTAGCGCGTTCAAACAAACAAACAAACAAACTCTTCAGCTTTATAATATTAGTATAGATTACGACAGTGTTTAATAGTTTAAAGTGCAGAGTGAATTACCAAACTTTGCGAATTATATCGTATTCCATTTCAGTGTGGGCTCAGTCATAATAACTGTTTATGGCGTCCAACTGATGTGGAGAAGAGGTTCTGGAGGTAGACTGTTGGTACTGGGAGTTGCCGTACTTGTAGCTGGAGGAGTTGCGAGGACTCACTTGAGGAACAGAGATTGGAGAACAAGGGAGACTCTGCTGAGGTTCGTAAAATTAGTAAAAAGTATTTGCACTTCCAATTTTTAGCTTTAAGTAGCTTAAGAGTTAGGACTATAGTGATCCTATAATGCCCAGTAATAGGTCGAGAAGACTTCAAAGTATGCAAAAAAAAATTGGCACACAATTACACACACACTTAAATTTTTACAAGAAATGAATAAAAATTAGAAAAAAGCAATGAAATAAGACTAATGATGTAAAAAATATATATATTGGAAGTTCATCATTTTTGCTCTCTGGCAACAGCACATCTTCAGCCTGAGCAAGCACAATATTAAATAATAATAGTAATATGTTCACACATCTCACACACAGTGATCTGATCCCAAATTACGCGGCGGCTGTGTTTTGGTAACCAGACTGCTGATAAACATATAATATACATACATTATATACATATATACACGTATACATACACATTATATATACATCATGATATGCACATGATAAAAATATTTCTAAATATGTATGTAATGTGTGGTACTTTATCTATAAAGTACAGCCAGACACAGAACTTTGGAAGGTAGAGGCAAAAAGAAACATCTCCTATAAGAGGAAGGTTGAAAAAGTGTCCAGCTGTATACTGAAAATAGAGGTCGATGGCGTACGAAAAACTACGATATGAAAGTAGCTGTTGTAGACGGAGTGAAGTGTGCTGAGTTGAAATATTATAATATTTTGTTATTAAACGTTTATTTGTGTGTAAAACTCATTGAATATTTTTCGCAGTGTATAATTATTATTTAAGCCAATATATCCTAAACCACCACAGCGCCACCCTTAATGGATGAATTTTTAAGGACACTTCATACACAGACATGGTTCGCCTTGCCTCTTTCCTCTATACACAGAATAAATGATTGTGCTCTGTGTGTGTTGTATGTGTGTCTGGATGGGAATCGAATCCACGACCTCTGGCTTAGCAGTCAGTACCACTAGACATGTCAGTCTGAACTTAATTTTACACTTTGTGAGTATATTTCAAGTGAAGTTTCAAGTTGAAAACACTATTAGCGCCTAACATATAAACAAATCAATAAGTGGTAATGTAGGTTTGCTCTAAATTTTATTGTAGGCTCTTATGGTTGCGAGGACGCTTCCACACCTTTTTTAGGTATAACACTAGACTCTAAATTGCAATGGGGCCCACACATTGACGGATTGTCGAATAGACTCAGCTCTGCAGCATACGCGGTTTACAAAATTCGTCAATTAACCGATGTAGAAACAGCTAGACTGGTGTATTTTAGCTATTTTCATAGTGTAATGTCATACGGTATTTTGTTGTGGGGAAATGCTGCTGACATTCAAAGTATTTTTGTGTTGCAAAAGAGAGCTATTCGTGCAATTTATAATCTCAGTTATAGGCAGTCACTGAGGGATAAGTTTAAAGAAATTGGTATCATGACAGTCGCATCTCAATATATATATGAAAATTTAGTGTATGTAAAGAAAAATAATCATTTATTCACAAAGTTTAGTGACATGCATAAAATAAACACTAGAAATAAAGATAAACTCGTGTTACCAACCACTAGGTTACAAAAAGTAAGCAAGTCTTTTCGTTGTCAGGGTGTGCGATTTTACAATAAAGTGCCAAGCAAATTCCATGAATTAAGTATTAATAAATTTAAGTCTTTAGTAAAGCTAAAACTATGTGAAAAGGCTTACTACACTATTACAGATTATTTAGACGACAAATTTGCTTGGGATTGATGCTGCTCACTCCCACATTTACGTAGACATCTTTGTTGTTAAGTTTGAAAGTGATGGACATTTAATTTTTTTTTTTTTTTTGGTGTATTTCGTATTTTGTTTTTGTATTTTATTTTTCGTTGACTTTGAACTGTATAGTATTTTTTTTATTTTTTGTGTAAGTATGTAAATGTGAGTACAGTGTAGGCTTGTAATGTTAATTCATATTTTATTATCTTTCTGGTGGTTTTGAGTGTTTCCACGGCCTACCCAAATGTCCTGCTGGCGGTAGTGTCATGCTTCGGGTCGTTGATCTTGACCAATATCGGTTAGGCTACACGATGGCTGGAGCCTGTATGCCGTCTGTATGGACAGGTTGACTCAAAACTATGGTCCTTTCCTCAAAAGGCCTATCCAGACCCTATACTGTACTCGCACAGTTTTATTTAACTTTGTTTACGGACTTAAAAAAAAAAAGACACCTCTGTGGTTTGTTTCGGCGTTTCTTCCCAGAGTGAGTCTTAGGAAATGCCGGCTCCTTCTAGCTATAAAGTCCGACTTGTAAAAATATCTGAAAAGATTTACTTACAGAAATAAATATCATTTCATTTCATTTCATTTCACCGCTGTTTCCCTCTTTATAATAGTAGAACAATAATATTGATAGTAAATAAATAAATAATAACATAATTTCTATCCTATTTCTTGAATGTTTCATAACTTTTCTTTTTACAGAGCTGATCTCTCTGTATTGCCACACAATGCCAAACTCCACTACAATTTTGCCAACTTCTTAAAGGATATTGAGCAACAAGAGAATGCTATTAAACATTATAAGGAAGCACTACAGTAAGTATAACTCTATGAGGAAATATTTATCATCATCATCATCGTCAAGAGCCTTTAACAGTCTACTGCTGGACATAAGCCTCTCCTTAGAAAGAAGGTTTTGGCCTACTATACCACGCTGGCCAGACGGGTTGGTATAGGGTTTGTGTCAAGTTTTCCTTCTCTTTGCAGTGCTGTTATCCTGCTTAGTTTTTCCTTAGTCGGCTCTTACGACACCCACGGGATGAATAAGGGTGGTGACACTCTGTATTCTTAATCCGTCACCACACGGACCCGGAACCACGGACAGGGAAGTATTCACGGTATGTGAATGCACTATTTCATATGGCTGATATAACTGTTTAGCTTGTAGAATACAAGGCAATAAAAATACTAACCACTGATGCTCAACGATAAAAAAAGCTTTATATATTTTATTTCCATTATTTCAATTAGACATGAATGAAAAAAAATAGATAAACAATCTCGCTATAACACAAGGGATCAGTACCTTTTAACAATGTTTTTAATGACAAAAACTTAAAGCAATTGTGAACCCGACTTATATACTACTATAACAAACAAACGATAACCGAAACTTAGCAAAATAACCACCAATTATTTTCTGTATTTACTAACTTGCAGGTTATGGCCCAGCTACGCCAGTGCACATAACAACCTCGGCACTTTGGTGCTGGCTTCGGGCCGAGCCGAACACCACTTTCTGCAAGCACTCAAATACAACAGGGACCATGTCAACGCACATTATAATCTGGCAAAACTATATAGGTACATAACATAGATATTTCTTTGACTATTCCATCTTGAACTGATTAAGGGTTTTCGTCGACTAATTTGGTAGTCAGAGAAAGATAAAATTCTCCTTAATACAGTCTTTCTCTATGAACAATTATTGTATCAGTCAAGTGACTCAGTATTGATGTTTTTAACCTACCAGTATAGGTTCTATGAAATTAATGAATTAGCAGTCTATAATAGCGTAATTTATACTATAACTGAACAGTATAGTATGACATGAGCTCAGGGCTGTTTGAGTGTGTAAGTAATAATGATTTACCAAAATGTCAACTTTAAGCATTCATAACAACAAAACAAGCGTAACTCATCAAAAGAACTCGAAATTGCTTGACTTGAAAAGTAAATTAACACTTTAATTCTAATTGTTTACAGGAAAAAGAACCGTATTCCAGAATCATTAAAGATGCTAGAACGATGCATCTCTTTAGAGCCGAGGTTTGTCCAGGCATATCTTGAGCTGTTGCTACTCAAACCAGACGAAGAGAAGAAAGGGGTGTTAGATAAACTTCTGGAATTGGAGCCATCAAATTGGGAGCATTATGTGCTCTATGGAAATTGGTACAAAGATAGAGGTAGGCGATTGCTGATATTACAATGCTCCATGACGAGAATATCATGAACGCTGACATAAAAAAGGAATATATTTGATCGTACTTGATATAGTATGTGTCCAACATTCTTAGTATTCCTTTTGAGAAGGAAAAAGTTAGTTGTAGGAGGGTTTTTTTGACGTTTGAGCTCAGGATCAGTTTGACATCAGTTTTGATATCAAATCTGATGGCTTAGTACTAAATTTCTAAAGTTTTTATTAGTAGTAAGACGAAGCCGTAAGTAGCCAGTTGATGTCTTTTATTTAATGGAATTTCCTATCACAAGGGTATTTGATCTACAATTCTTTGAGCTGCTGCAATATTAGTTCCGTTTTTCCATCCGAAATATTTACAGTATCCTTAACTTTACCCTAGCTTTCTCACCCCCACTTAATTTCCATTGATCCATATTAATAAATTATTGTCTATTTTCTCAAATGTTTTTTGTATTTCAGGTCTTCTTCCTATATCTTTAGAGTACTACATTACAGCAATGAGACTTTCCTTCAATACTGCAACTGGCACTATTAGGGGTGAAGTGTTGTCGCTTCGTGCGGCCTGCCTTGCGTTGCGAACTTTAGGGCAGTATAGCAGGATGTTGCAGTTACTTATTAGGTAAGTGGCTTTCCATCGAAGTACATAGGTATCTCTTAATTACTCTTTCTCTTTTTTAAAAGACAACACTCCCGCACTAGGAAAAGATCCTGTGTCGCGGGGGACTTTACAAACATACAATAAACGGACACGAAGTATTGTCCCATGTGGTAATCGAATCCACAATACACAGGGCAAGAGGAAGCGGCGAGGTAACCGCTTAAACACCACTACGCCATCTGCGCAGTCTAATTAATTACAGACTGTATAAACTAAGTTTATCACGTTGCCCGTTTGCCAGACAAGATAATTTTATGTCTTGTGCTCTTGGCCGTAGTCACGCAGTCACAAAAAGTGTTAGAGAGCCTCAGCATTATATTGACGGGATAGACACAATCTGTCTCTTCTGTTGGGGTCCGCAGGCTTGATATCTATCCTTATTCAGCGGTACTGTAGCTCTGACCCTAATTTTACTACTAATGTACCACTTCCCTAGATGGCACGGTGTCCGTGGAGATGCTCAGCCGCCGAGCCGGCGCCTTCTGGCGGCGCGCGCCTGGCGCTTGCGCAGCGAACTCGCCGAGCGCGCTGCGCACTACGCGCGCCCGCGTCTTCAACCTGAGACCGTACGTGTAGCACATATATATATATATATGTTATTTAAAACATTACTTCTGTTTATTAAGTAGCCCGATATCTTATTTACCTAAAGTGGTAAAATGTTGGGTTTGTCTACCAGTTTGTCAAGTATTTCCTTGAAATCGGTTTAATTTTAAAGCGTTTATTGTTCCATCAATAGTAATGCTTACTCATTTAAAATTTAGTAGAATCGTAACAATTTATGCTTTTACAATCTTCACCATGTCATGAAGTCATCAATTAATTCATAAAATTGAATTGTAATATGATATCATTTAGAAATCGAATGAAATTTTAGTAAATTGTCTGTTACTTTATAAATATAATACAATATAAATTATGTTGATTAGATAGGTACTTGCTTTGGTATAAAAAGAAAACTCTTTTCGATAGAGGTGTATACTGTATACTCTTGACGGTCTCGATTTTTTTTCAATGTCTACAGTAGTTTATGTTTTTTTTACGTGTGATATGAAACTGTGTATTTCACAAAAACCATGGTAATAAAACTATAAACAACTAAAGTACAATTTTTAGTACTTAAACACTTCAATTTTACAACATTTCAGGTAACATCGACCTGCCTACATCACAGCCAGCTCGAAGTCTCAGCAGACTACACGAACAAATTAAAACAAGAAGACACAGACTCCAGATTATTACCTCAGGATATGAAAGCGCCGAGAGTTCCCAATTCAGAGGACACGAAAAAAATTGCAGATAAAAATAATTGCCAAAAAAACTTACCGCGAAAAAAAAGTGTATCATTGTCTAGTCATTTTAAATTGACACATAATAAATCTGAAATTGGACACAAGAAAAGTTGTCCTCTGCATAAAAAAAAGAAAATTAAAGACCCTGAGTTCACACCTTACGTGTCAGACCACTTGATAAAGACTTATTAAGATAGTATTAATTGAAATGTTTGATTTTTGTGTTACACAGATGTGGTATGGTTTCTAGAACATCACGACAGTCTAAAACTTAATGAAACTAATGAGCAAGGCCTAGCTTAAATAAATTACTATGTATATAGGCTGTAACACAAAAATCAATCACTCTCACAGCTAAATTTTTTTAACGAAAATAAAAGACTTTTAAAAAGTTGTATAATAGTCGATGTTCGATATTTGTGCCATAACAATATAATTATAATAAGATATCTAACAGTATTTAGATACTTGCATTGATAGTTATTTTTGTTACATATTACGAAATATTATCAGTAGCCTTTTGAATACTGGTTTAATATATTTTGACACACAGAAACACTGTAATCTCTTATATATATTTAATTGTAGTATATATTTGTTATTTTCCATTTTTGTTTTAACATGACAGATTTTTACCTAAGTTTAATTATAAAATATCGCATGAAATATCACCGAGGTTTCTATCGCCTCAAGAATTCGTCACTTAGGTAATACTTATTAAAAATATGTTGTTTAAATTCAATAATAGAGTTCTAATTGTTAATGAACTCACTTACCATAAGATGATTCCTTAACTCGTTTTCCTCGGATGCCATAAAAAATTCGTGTTGTAACTATTTTTATTTTTATTAAAAACAAATTCAAAACATCTTGTACTTAGATTTCCAGTTTCAGAAGTATCTAAGTTACGATTGTTGTTTTATGGTATATTTTCATATTTATGCCTAGTTTATATGCTTGCCGAGGCTTGGCAAACGTCCACAAGCGCCAAGCCTTTACAACTGCTTGGATGCCATTTACACGCTTGCGGGTGTGTTAGTGAGTTCGGGACAGGCAAACATAGCAAATGTGGACATATTTTTATTCAAAATATAAACCGCGGCACTCAACTAAAACAATCCTCTACCCTACTCAACTCAACTCTCTACTACTCAACTAAACTGCTCAAACATTCCCGACTACTCAACTAACATCAAATTGAGCAAAATACGAAATACATTGCAAATGCATGCCGCAAGCTTCCTTTGATCTGTATTCAAAAACCGACACTACGAGTAGTTCCGATCGACGCAAGCCGAGCCGAACACCCTGTTTACACGCTTGTGTTTATGGACACCCCTCGAGGCTTGCCTTTAATTGTTGCCAAGCCTTGAGCCGCATAATACTGTTTAAAGGAATAATTTCGGTGTATGACTATAAATATACGAATAATGTAAATATTACCTAATATAAGTTAGTTGAACAATATTAAGATTAACATAAGAAATCGCACTTTGTTGCTTTAGATGTACTGGTTTGTTTACTAACACAGTCAAATAAAATTATTGACGCAAATTGAAATTTTATTATAATTTAATTTATCTTAAATGATTGTGGTAGCAAATGAGCAGGCTCAGCCGGAGTGGTACCACGGCCTCACGGACAATTCTGTCGTTGCTTACCCACCAATTTTGAATTCCAGCTCGACTGCGCTAATGTTCATCCAGTGATAGGGATAGTGCAACGAACTCAATAATAAGGAATACTCGTGTGGTGACGGATTAAGAGTACGGAATGTCACCACCCCTATTCATCCCGTGGGTGTCGTAAGAGCCGACTAAGGTAAAAAACTACGCAGGACAACAACACTGCAAAGAGAAGGAAAACTTGACACAAACCCTATACCGACCCGTCTGGCCAGCGTGGTATACTAGGCCAAAACCTCCTTTCTAAGGAGAGGCCTATGTCCAGCAGTGGACTATTATAGACTGTTGATGATGATGATGCTAATCAATTTGACACTTCCGTACTTCTTGATTATGTGGTTATTTTCGTTCAAAGTTAAACGTTTCTGCAAAATAGATATTGGTTCTTAGTTACATTTCAAACAACACTTCTTGGTTTCATTATTGTCTGTGATATTTTTAAATGAAACTGCTGTTACTGTGACTTTATTAAACATTTAAAAGGACCGTGCGGTGACGTTTTAAGAATACGGAGGGTCGTCACCCCCGTGCATCCCGGTTATTGCAAGAGCCGACTAAGAGAGCAAAATATGCAGGACAACAGCAATAGAAACAGAAGGAAAAGTTGACCTTCCATGATATATAAACCCTATAGGTACTAACCCGCCTGATCAGCGTGGTACAGTAGGCTAAAACCTCTTTTCTACGAAGAGGCATATGTCCAACAGTGGACTATAAAAGGCAGTTGATGATGATTTAAAAAGAGTGTATTGATAAATATGTATATCACATGTATATATATACGTTGACAATATACGTTCCTATGTAATGTGTAACATTACTTATTTATGATACACTAGTTGGTTTGATTCCCGGACCGGGCAAAATTTTTAATGTGTGTATGATATTTATAGAGATAAAAAAAATATATCTACGTATTATATTTTTAGCTGACTGCTACAGATGGAGGATTAAGTTTTTGGAGTGTATGTATGTATGTACACGTCTTTGCACGCTTTATAGTCTTGACGACTTGATGGATTATGGCTTGAAAAGTGTCGTTAGCCGTTGCTGCCCTTGTGTTCGTCGAAAAATCGCCAATTCGTAGAAGGCACATGCTTAAAATGCGCTCGTTCGAAGCTTGTAAGTCACACTACACAAATTTGTGCTCAGTTCGTCTAGCCTACACGCACGTTTACAGTTTCAAACCTGATAATTTCTCAATACTTTATATGTAGGTATAACTTTAAGTTGCCTGCCGTTTCGACTAACCGCAGTTACAAGCGGTCAGTAGGCCTACACCTTTCTTTTTTTTTTCCCCGTGTAGAAATCCCCTCGGATACCACCTATCGGTGGCATGTCGGACTCGAACCGACTAAAACCGCACGCCGTCTCGGGTACTAATAGCCGGGGAACCAGGTATACCCTAGAAAGGAAGTCCCTGGTGCCCCGACATACCTCGGGTCATCTACAAACGAGTAGACGACCCCCCCCCCCCCCCCCCCCGTGTGGGAACCCCATGTTCCCTGTGCTCCCTGGAAGCGAGCGCGCTTCGCAACGCGCTCGCCGCCATCCCGGTCTGCTTCTGCTAGGGTAATAGATGGAGTAGGCCTACACCTTGTAAACCGAGTCAATAACAAATACATTGACTTTGTTTGTGTGTATAATTAATTAACACTGGATTTTTTTGATATTGGGATAAGTATTATAATAGTGGACCAAAACCTCCTTTCTCAGGAGAGGCCTATGCCCAACAGTGAACTATTAAAGGTAAAAAATGTAATGATGTGATCTGATTATTATACTTGTGATCATAAAAAGCACTTGGCGGAATAATAGATTGTGTGCGATAGCGATTTTTGTGGTTTCATCGTTGTTTAATCAATCTGAGAACCCTCTGTATGCCTACAATTCAATAAGTACCTTAACAAATCAATATTTCATTTTAGTTGTCGAAACTATTCCTCCACAGTTCAAGATGACAAAAATGAACAAAACCCTATTAAAATCTGTAATTACAGTGATTGTTTGCCGACACCAAGTACACAGATTACTCAATCTCTCTATAGAAACTTCAATCATTAATAAAAAAAGTTAATTGAAATACCGCCTCAAGTTTGGTTCCATTAAGTATGTTGCAGTGTTTAGACATAAAGCGTGTTGAAAATAAATATAGGTATATTCGCAATTTCTTTTTCTATCTCTACAAATAAATAAAATTGAAGTGTCTGTTTGTAATATCAAAACAATAGGTTTTTTTTTCATGCTCACACGGTTATTTACACGACATCTATGCCTAAAAACCAGTTTGTCAGTTGTCTGTCTGTCTATTTGTTTATTCCGGGTAATCTTCTAAACGCCTGGACCGATTTTGATAATATTTTACTACCAGGTAGCTCTCAGAAAAACCGTTTAAAAATTTGCTCGGTCCGGGAATAGCTTTTCAAATTCCACGCGAACGAAGTCGCGGGTACTAGCTAGTCCAAACAATAAAAAGCTATTAATATAATTATGACATGCAGGGTAGAGCCATACTTCGGCACATGTGGGTCAGGCTCTGCCAGAGTGGTACCAGGGCCTCACAGAGAACCAGTATTAAGCCGTTCTTTCGATGCTTTTTTCAACACCGAGTGAGTGAGGGTTTGGACTACGTTAAGGAGACCCTCCCTCTGCTCTGGATTTTGGGGGGAGGGAATGAGGTGGGGGTAATCCAGATCTCCTCAATAAATACGACCGCCTTCTGAATAACTGCATTCGATTCGTCTTTAACCTTCGCAAATACGACCATGTTTCTTCCTCTCGTCGTGAATTGAACTGGCTCACGATTCGTCAGCGCCGTCAGCTGCACGCCCTCACCACCCTCTATTCCATACTCAACTCACCTATTTCCCCTTCCTACCTAACATCCTCATTTCATTTTCTATGTGCCAATCACAACAGAACTCTCCGTTCATTAAACAATCCACTTCTGTTATGCCCCACTCATACTTCCGCATGTGTCCACTCTTCGTTCTTAGTCCAATCTGTCCTCCTCTGGAACGCTCTGCCTTTGGAAATCAGGATAGCACCCAGTCGCCTCTCATAAAGTCTTATATGTTATTATGTTAGCCTTGTATGTATTACTCAGCAAGTATATATATGTATGTGTATCTCAGTATGTATGTAACCTAATATTAATTTCATGCACCTACTCAGACATTTCCCCACCACCCAAAGGTAGACTGGAAGAAAATGCCTTTGGCATTAAGTCCGCCATTGTACTTTGTTTGTGCAAAAAGAATTAAAATAAAATAAATAAATATTCCAATTGTAACCTCCTCCTACTTCTACACCTTAAAAAACTTACTGGCAAGCCTTTGCCAGTAAGTTTTTTAAGGTGTAGAATGGTGGTTTCAAATGGTTCTCAGAGCTTCAATAGTCTATATTGCGATATAAATGATCTTAAGAGGATTCTTTGAGGAGTATGTTTTATGGTTTGATGTCGGATTTAATAAACACGGTCAATATAGTATAACTAGCTTAGCTACAGTTTCATCAACAGCCTGTGACATGCTGGACATAGGCCTCTCCTTAGAAAGGAGGTTTTGGCCTACTAAACGACGCTGGCCAGACGGGTTGGTATAAGGTTTGTTTCAAGTTTTCCTTCTGTTTGCAGTGCTTTTGTCTTGCGTAGTTTGCTCCCTTAGTCGGCTCTTACGACACCCACGGGATGAATAGGGGTGGTGGCACGCCGTTTTGACACGTAGAATAGTTTAACAGTTTTAAAATCAATTAAGTTACACTTAATATTTGAATCATGAACACAAACGACAATCTCCACCAGCAGCCACCAGAACTGGATTGCAGCACTCCATCGTGGTCAAGGAATTATTACGGAAGACTTTAAATAATATCTTGTTAGTATGTTGAGGTCAGATTGTTCGTCTGTAGTTTTTGTCAGATTCATGACAATAGATGCTTGACGCAATCGGAATCGGTAAATTGATTTATTTTGTTTTTGTTACAATTCTGGGAAAGAATATTGGTTAAATATATATATAGAGGGTTATAATTGACTGCACGGGTGGCGTAGTGGTATGAGCGGTCGCCACGCCGCTTCCTACTACACTGAGTGTTGTGGGTTCGATCCTCACATGGGACGACACTTTGTGTGATCCTCAAATTCTCGTTCTGGGTCTGGGTGTTCTTTGTGTCCGTTTCATGTATGTTTGTAAAGTCCCCTGCGATACAGGATATATTCCTAGTGCGGGAGTTGTCTTTTCAAAAAATAAATAAATTATAGAATAAGATTTTTGACTTGGAATTTCTTGGTAACACTAGTAATAACAATAGCTGTATGCATCTCACACAAGGCAATCTGATCCTAAGCTAGGCAGAGCCATGTGCTATGGTAACCAGACTGCTGATAAACACACTTATATTTTTCTAAATATACACATCGTATTTCATCATCATCATCATCAGCCTATCGCAGTCCACTGCTGGACACAGGCCTCTCCCATTGCACAATAATTAATTAACATTTGCTTAACATCGTATTTATCACAAACTTATTTGTCCTGGGTGGGAATGGAATCCACGGTCTCCAGCTTGGTCGTCAGGTTCACTAGACACTAAGCCAATAGGCCTGTCGACTACTATTTAACTATTTTTAATGGAGGATATGATAACTCCATTATTGGTATTCATGCGTTTTGGTTCAAAACGAACCTTCCGTTCTAAAAGTGATTACTGGGTTAACATCTATAAATACCTAAATCACGCCCATTTTCATATTTAGGAATCGAACCCCCATACAATAAGCACGATGTATTGGCAAGCATTTTTATTGTTGTACATGGACAACAATATATTGTGAAACAAATTGTTTTCTTTATTCCTTACTTCTAGAACTTTTAGTTCTTCAAGTTTAAAAATAATCAAAGAGAAAGTACCCTCGCAAGTGTAAAGTATGTTTCAAATCGGTTATTACATGTTGGAGTTCGAAATAAGTTCGTTACCAACTTACAAAAAACAGCCACAGATTATAACAAGTATCTACGTCTTACAAACTTACGAGTAGTTATAATATAAACACAGATACATTAACAGTACACACGTATATTCTCTTAATGTTTAAATAAACAGATAACAAAGCTAAAAAATAACTGCGTGCTTTAGAAATTTTCTTCAATATTAACATTTGTGCAATATGCGTGTATAAAGTTATAAACAAATATCAACATACGTAAGACGTCAACAGGGGTAAATAAGGGTGAGTAATGAGTTTTACAACAAAGAACAAAGACATGTACACACACACACGTCTCCCGAAGCGATAAACAAAGGTTTTTTAAAGCGGCTATATTTTGCCGACTATTTTTAGCCGTCAACCGGACACATACTATATTTCTAAACACAACATACATAAAACAGACAAATTAAGCCCTGTATAGAACAAATGATCGCACTCATCACAGAATATTATTTGTATTGGGTGAGAATCGAACCCACGACATATGGCTCAGCGGTCAAGATCGCTTACCATAGTACTACACAGGCCCGTAACATAATTTTATCAATAAAACTCAATTAATTTTTATAATGATTATCGTCACTACCGTTTTCCTGCCGTTTTGCCGAATTTATTTAGCGTTGGTGCTGTGTGTGCCATTGCAAAAGAAATTGACTGCTTTCTTAAATAGCCAGCCAGTGGTTGCTGATAGAAATGATGCTTCAGAATGTAATCGTTTGTAGAAGTGACAAAGGATGAAGCTTTATTAGAATAACACAAATCAAAAATTTGGAACACCCAAAGTTTGGCTGCAGGTCAAAGTTACCATTTTATGGAAATCCTGCTAAAGTAACAAGACAACAAATTTTAAATCAATCGAAGTTGTGTAAGTTAGTGAGATCTTTTCATCTACTATTAAATAAGTTAATGATCTTCAAACATTACTTCTAAGATTCATCTCGACTACGTTAGATTTAAAACAAAAAAAGCAGTACAATCGGTTGATTTGTTTAGGAGCTACGCTCCACAGACAGACACACAGACACGTCAAACTTATAACACCCCTCTTGTTAAGTTGGAGATTAATAAATAAAAAAAACAGGGAATTAGAACGGGACTAAGATTAAGCTCAATGTGAGAAGAGAGAGGGGGGGGGGTAGTAAATGTTCCAGTTCCACGTCTTAACAACTTTCTCATTGATATTCGGCTCCTGTTAGTCGTAGCATGATGTTATATAGCTTTTATCCTTTCTCGATAGAAGGACTATCCCAAACCCAAATTCCAACACGTTGTTCCTGAGGTTACCGCGAACATACAAACTCACAAACTTTACCTCTTTATAATAATATCTCTCACAATCTTCTGACTCGTTCATCTACTCAGTTTTCATATTATGCGATTTAAAAACAATTTCTGTTTTATACAAAACTTGTCCTAACAATTAATAAAGAACACAATAAAAAAAGAATTATCCAATTTGGTGAAGTCGTTCGGTAGTTATGCGCGTACATTGTATTTGGGCGATTCATTTTTATTTATTCAGAAGATTGCAAGGACTTGGCTCTAAAATAGAATTTACATCAGATAATTTGGCGATACTATTAAATTAAATTAAATATCAAATTCCCCCCCCCCCCCCCCCAGTTCATCCCGTGGGTGTCGTAAGAGTCGACTAAGGGCGCAAAACAACGCAGGACACCAGCTCTGCAAAAAGAAGGAAAACTTGTCACAAACCCTATACCAACCCGTCTGGCCAGCGTGGTATAGTAGGCCAAAACCTCCTTTCTAAGGAGAGGCCTATGTTCAGCAGTGGACTATTACAGGCTGATGATGATGATGTGATGTGAAATATCAAATATGTATTGTGAGAACAATAAATATTTCGCACTGACCAATTAGTTAACTCATTATTGAATCTATAGGTAATTCTCAGTCCTGTTCAGTCCTGTCCTCGTTCAATAACACGAATAGTTCCACAACATGTTGTCTATGTCATAGAGAAAAACCAAACAGACAATACCAAATATGCCTCTGTGATGTGTTTACTAAAACACTGTCCGTAGCGCTAAGTACTATAAACATTTACTTAGGTATAACTTAAGTAGGAAACTACACATGTAATCTTCAGAAAATAATAATTATAGACAGTAATTAACTTTATCGACGTATTTTTCAAAGTGTATGTACTCGCAATTATAATAAGTTGTCTTAACTAGTATTTTTATTAATGTTACAAAGGTGAGAATAAAGTTTTTTACTTGCTGAAATAGTTCAAATCCTCCTCCCACCTTTCTACCAATTCTGGAGGACACAAAGAGCAAAACACTAGAAGTGATGAATCTCTTGTTGAAGGTGTCCACTGCGGTAGTTTATTACCATCAGCTGGAACGTCTGCTAGATAGTACGACGTGAAAATGTATGTGAACTTAAAATTCAAAACAGAATAAAAGGTGACACGATTTTTAATTCGCATTCGGATTTGTGTAACTAAATAGTAAATAATACATAACAGATAATAAATCTATACCTACCACATTTACGAAGAAAGTATCAATTGAATGTAGGGTACTAATAAATCTTTTTAAACATCGCTACCTGACATAACAGGTTACTTCTACTGTCAAAGTTCAGCCGTTCAAATCATTTGGTTCATCATCTTAATGTTTACGCAACGGTCAGATCTCACGGCCATTCTAGTAAAAGTTAAATTTAATTCACGGCCGGTGTTTTCACTACGGTCGAAAAATCGCGAAAATAATAAGCTGGATTAAACTAATTCGCTGTGGTGTTATACGCTTTCTAGGCAGTGCGGTATCGCGGCCCGCAGTGCTGACCGTACGCCGCGCCCGACCACTCGTACACAACAAACATTTACCCACCGAGTCATATAAAAACGCTGATATCAACGCAACTGCATTTAGCAAGATCCTTTGTTGCAACGGTGAAAGGTCTCGTACTATAAAGTAAAAAAATAGAACAGTTTCAGATCATTTGCTGACGAAATGCGACCAATTTTTATCTGGGTGGTGCTAGCGGTCGCGGCTGCGGAAGTAGCCGAAGAACCCTGGGTTGAAGAAGAGGATGTGGGCGACATAGATGATGATTACGATACGTACAGAACACGCCGAGACATTCATGACACACGACCTTTCGAGGAGCACGTACGTGTGAAACGATGCTGTGAAGAACCGAGGATTCGGCGCTCAGCACAATATGTTCGAGTACCTCGACATCTTCACCAGTATGAAGTCCACGAATTCACAGATGACTCTGAAATGGCCTCACCGCCTTACGAAGAAATGCTTGCAGCAAGCGCTAACCATTACCACAAAGTGTACGCCCCAGCCCCTCGTCACTTAAAACCTGATGTGATAAGTGGAAACGTAGCCGAAGCCATTAAGATTGCTCCATTGGAAGTGATAGAACCTGTTCAATTTGTTGCAAGTCCACAAGTGGCGGTTCCTATAGCAGCTGTCAACCTTCCAGGAGAGAATCCTTTGCCTGTAGCTTCGGAGCCACTGATCCAGGCGACGAGCCAGTTAGCTGCGGGTGACCAATACCCAGCTTCAAGTGGTCATAAAACAAACCATGCTCATGGTCATACTCAAGGGGGAGGTCACGCAAACCATGCAGGACACTACGGAGAAAAAGGAGGGAAGGTAAGGATATTTTCCTTTTGCGTTTTTACTGTGTATTCATAACTATTCGTGTGATTAGTATTTAATTGTTGTGCTAAGTAATTAAATTACTGCATCAGTGACTAGCATCGAGTAATTAAAAAAAAACTTTACAAAAAACTTTGAAGTAGAAGAGTAATCCTTGCGAGTTCTTTATTTATTTTTTAAAGATAAGTTCTTATATCTACCACTTTTATCATTCACTATTATTTCGTAATATTCTTTAATAATTTTTAAATAAAACATGTTCCTTTATATCTTTCTTTTGCGTACTAAATAATGCATTAGCCTGCTTTTAATTTAAATACGAAGTATCCATAATTCGTTTCTCATTGAAACTTCAATTTTATGTCCGGTAAAAATAAGTGTGTTCTATGAAAAAACATATCTACGAATTCCCTTCTTATAGGCAAATTATAGGCCTATTAGATATTATGACAATGTTATAAGATATTTCAACTAAATAATAATCTATTCGTAACTTGTGCTGTGTAGCATAATTGGGTAATGAGATTGAAATTAGTTTCAGAATATTAATTATACTTATCTCCTCTCATTATTATAGAATGTCTCAAATTAGACACAAAATCTCTGATCGTTCTGGTACAGTTTACAATCGTAAGCAATCACAATGAACTACCCACAGCCGTGATGTAATGTTGCTAGGTAAACCACTTCTGTCAATTACAACATAAATTAACTATTGTGTGGTTCGCTACGAGTTTTGATAACATCTCTTGAGACGGTATACCGCATAATTACCACAAATATTTACATCAAGTTATAACAAATTAATATCAACATTACGCGGTCCATGATATCATTGATTAGGAAATTAACGAGATCAATTGAATAAAAAATTAATTTTAAATTATGTGTTTAATCATCCTTGATAAATAGGATTTCCAAAACTAAAATAAATTTACAATTCGAACCAGTAGTTACTGAGATTAGCCCGTTCAACCAAACAGACTCTTCAGATTTATAATATTAAGTGTAGACAACGTATGATTTAAAACAAAAAAAAAAGATAAAATAATAATATATGTAACGTCTGTGCACTACTTTACTCCATTTTCACCTCACCCAAAGGTTAACTGGAAGAGAATGCCCTGGGCATTAAGTCCGCCGATGTATAAAAGTGCATAAAGTAATAAACATTGATATATTATATTATGTCCGTGTGCTGACGGATTAAGAATACGGAGTGTCACCACCCCTATTCATCCTGTGGGTGTGACTAAGGGAGCAAACTACGCAGGACAATAGCACTGCAAAGAGAAGGCAAACTTGAAACAAACCATATACCAACCCGTCTGGCCCGCGTGGTGTAGTAGGCCAAAACCTACTTTCTAAAGAAGAGGCCTATATCCACCAGTGGACTATTAAATGCTGTTGATGTGCTGTGATATTATATTAAATTATTTAACTCAATATTAATAAATAACTTATGAGTTGCCAAAAGTTTCAACTAGATTGTCCTGGCCGTGGTCACAGGCTGTTACAGGCATGTTACAACTATCTAGGAGGGTCCGGTTGTCTTAATAACAGCTGTTCCCGGATCCCTCCCTATTTCAGGCGGAGATTGGCACACCATGACGTTTTAGTCGGTTCGATTCCGATACACCGCCCCGCCACAAACCCCGGTGCGGTGACGGCCCGAGGGGGTTTCACACTTACAAAAAAAAGAGAAAAGAAAAAGATCAATTATATTATTTTTAAATCTCTGTTACAGCCTTGTGGCAATCTCTAATTCTATGTTAAGTTACTTATTCAAGAGCCATATACGTATAAACAAGTAGTATTAAAGTCCCCATACACCGTACTATACCTATAAATAATAACTTGACGTCAGTAAAGAATGAAGAGGGCTTCTTAACAATGTTTTATTATTAAATATACTATTGTAACCTGACCTAAAATTAGTAGCAGCACACACAAGAGTACCCATCAAAACATCGTGTCTATGATACAGTTATTTTGTTAAGCCATTGTCACTTTAGCTTTTTCCGAATAGATAACATAATCGATCAAAATTACCAACTCAACAATGGTTTAACTAGGTTATTGATAACGAAACTAAAAAAAGACTTAATAACCACAATCGAAATAGAATCCCTACTTAATATTATAAATGCTGTTTGTTACGCTTTTACGGCCAAACCGCGAAACCGATTTTAATGAAATTTGGCTTAGAGATACTTTGATTATTGAGAAAGTTTAAAGACTACTTTACACCATAATAACCGACATATACGCGAGTGGAGTCGCTGGCCAAAGCTAGTAGGTTCATAGTTAGGCTCGTTAAAAACAAAATTATTTACAGCTATACTGAAAAAGGGAAGAATTTATGATAATTATTGAAATATATAATATTATGATAATAATATGATATACATAATATTATGATATACATTTGACGACCGAATGGCGTAGTGGTTTGTGTAACGGACTGCTATTCTAAAGGTCGCGGGTTCGATTCCCGCTCAAGTCAAACATTTGTGTGCATGAACATTTGATGTTTGATTTGGTCTGGGTGTTTCTATGTATAATATGTATGTATTTACAAAAAAAAAGTATATATGTATTTATATCAGTTGTCTAGTACCCATAGTACAAGCTCTGCTTAGTTTGGGACTAGATGGCGTTGTGTGTATGTGGTAGAATATTATTATTATTATTTTTTATTATTTAGCCAATGTGATATATTATTGTTACTATATCAATATTAAAGCTGTTGGTTTTCCTTCAAATAAATAAATAAACATTGGGGGTAACCCTTGCCGGTACTGACTAGATTTGCCTGAGTTTTAGTTTGATTATTTCTTAATATGTTGTTAATGATATCTTATATGTTGTTAATGATGGCAAAAGTGGCGACTTATGGTTACAGTAACGATTATAAAAAACGTGATGAGAATTAAATATAAGTTACGTTTGTATGTCATGGATACGTATTATTTTACTTATCTCAAGTCTTGCTGAATGTATTTAATCTCGGGATTTTCAACATCGTCTTGTTAGGGTCGGCAGATGATTTTATTGCCTTCTTTACTAACTAATACTAGGTAATGGTGCTAATTATGTTGCTCGGAAACTCTCTAAACTAAACTAAAAATTACTAAAAAAAAATTTTGTCCTGTAAAATATTACGTTTTCAGATTAGGAAACGTTGTTTGACAGAACTAAACAATTTTTTTGAGATTTTTAGTTTAGTTTAGAGAGTTTTCGAACACAGAATTAGCACCATTAACAAGGTTTGGAAATCATTTTTAACCTAGTCCCATCTTTGTCATATGATAATCTGAAGCTGGGTGACGGTTTGATGACAAAGATAATAGAAATATTTTCCCTTCTTAGTTAAATTGGTTTTTTTTTATATTTTCTAAACTATAATTTACTGTATGAGAATAGTTATGAAGTATTTTTCGGTAATTAGGTATTATGAAAGTCAGATACAGTTATTAGACCTACTTAGTGATATTTTAGTCAGGCCATCGTTAACAGTTTTAAGACAAAATATTGCTCAGTACTGAAAGGTATTTGTTTTTAATAAAAAAAAAACCTAATTACTCATCTCTATACCACCCCAAGGCAGACTGGCAGAGAATGCCTACGGTTTATTTATTAAGTCCACCTTTGTGCATAAAGTATTAAATAATAAATAAAATAAAACGATATTGAATTCTGTTTAAAGTACTCGTAGATATGATTCAAAAGCAGTATATGTATTTGTAATCTCACTTGACATATGTTTACATTTAAACATGACTGTAGTTTAAATAATTCAATAATGGCTTCACTTACATACTTAATCTTATTAATGTATATACATAAATATAAATATACAGAATAATTTACTTTATAAGAACCTGTCAAGTTTTTTGTGTCGAACTAGGAAAATCGATTTTTATATGAATTTAAAACAAAAATACATTTGTGGAGAGTAATGTTTGATCAACTATTTTACTTATTAGAACAATTTCTAAGTATCAAAATGTAGTTGGTATGTTTTCATGGATTACGTAATATGTATCTTTTGTGCACCTACCTTATAAGATTTCTACACCACCCAAAGGTTGACTGGAAGAGAATGCCCTGAGCATTAAGTCCGCCGATGTACAAAAGAGCTTGAAGTTTAAAATAAATAAATGTCCGTTGCATCAAAATTTTAACGTCTGCATTCGATTGTCTGCTTGGGTTATAAGATAATCGTTAATTCAATTAGTCATCATCATCATCAACAGCCTTTAACAGTCCACTGATGGACATAGGCCTCTCCTTAGAAAGGAGGTTTTGGCTTACTATACCACGCTGGCCAGACGGGTTGGTATAGGGTTTGTGTCAAGTTTTCCTTCCCTCTGCAGTGGTGTTGTCCAGCGTAGTTTGCTCCCTTAGTCGCCTCGTACGACACCCATGGGATGAATAGGGGTGGTGACACTCTGTATTCTTAATCCGTCACCACACGGATTCGATTAGTATCATATTATATTTCTAGATCATCCTAAGATTAACTGGTAAAGAATACCCTGGGCATAAAATCCGTTTACGTTACAGCTTGTACATTAAATTTTAAATAAATACCTCATCCTCCTTTTTTCCACACGGTTGAACTTCGATTTTTCACTTGAGCGACTGCCATCAGACCTCCACAACCCAAGTACTCGAGGATATCGAAGTTCTGTAGATAGACTGTTGTCTTACTTTTTAAGGCTCTAACGTAACGACCCGCAATAGATGTTCGTGTTTTTGAAGGCACAGATGGGTATCAATGTGTTGTCTCATCCATATATACTGACCTGGCTCATCATCACCATCAACAGCGTTTAATAGTCCACTGCTGGACATAGGCTTCTTCTTTGGAAAGAGGTTTTGGCCTCCTATACCAGGCTATACTGACCTGGCTAAGATTGATTAACTTTGCAATGTGCTATCCTACTCAATTACCACTTAGAAATTTAGCCACGAGCTCCCTAAGTTATAATAAAAAAAATAAGTAATATAAAATAAAAATAATTCCAGGCCTCCAAAGGTTACCACACCAATCATTATCTTGATAAAGGCAACAAAGGCCACAAAACAGATGAACACCATAAAAAAGAGTACGAGGAAGCCGCCGGCAAGAAGAAGAAACATCACGACAACGCTGGACATAAGGGGAGCCATGAAGAAGAAGCCTTCGGTCATCGCGGAGCACAGTTCGATGAGAAGAAAGGGCACAAGAAAGGACACAAAACTAAAGGTATTTAATACTTGATTGTTCACGTTAAACGGATAAAATAATCTAGGTATCTAGTAAGGCCTTGTTTTGGGTAAATAGTCACGATAGCTGTGGGGTTTGGGATAACAGCAGTCGATAATCTCGGAAACAGCTTTCTAAATCAAAAGTTTGAAGGAGTTTTTAGGTTCCGTAACGATTTTTTGCCTCGTAAACAAAAATAAACTAAAAAAGGTAGACCTAGGGGGCAAAAAAGTAGACGGGTCACTTGATGGTAGTTACCGCCGCCGGTAGTTACCTACCGCCGGTTGTACTTGAAGTAGCTACCGCCGTTCAAGGACACCTGTAATTCAAGTGGCACAAGTGCGTTGCCACCTATTAAGGCGTTCATGGCGTTCATGGGCGGCGGTAGTCGCTTTCCATCAGGTGACACGTCTGCTCGTTTGCCTCATCTTCCATAAAAAAAACGGCTGTCTGTAAAGTCGGTTTACTAACGATAGTTGAACGTGACAACGTCATAAGACACCACATTCACTTTTCACTGCACTTCATACTTGACGAAAACATGTAAATGTATTATTGTATAGCAGCTGTCCACGCGGATGCATCGCTCACTCAAGTAGGAGAGAGACAGATGTCGAACGCTACCGAACGCGGAGGCCGATTGTGCCTCTTTGTCGCTCGTTCCGCGCTCTCGCTTGCACTTCAAGCCTTAAATGGAACGCCTCAGAGCGAGGTAACGCCGCATGAGTCATGTTTTTTCGTGCGTGCAGCCGGCTCCATCGAATTATAAGACGTTGTCACGTCAAAAAAACAGTGGCACGCCGGGAGTGCAATATATTTCAACCCAAAATCAACTCTCGTGAATACGGGTAGATACTTAAATAAAATACAGAGGTGCCGGTAACGGTAACAGTGTCGAGAGTTCAATGGTTTTATCCCATCTCAAATACATTATTTTGTTTGTTGTTCAAAAATGGCTAACGCGCCTAAAAAGTTTTTACTTTAGAAAAAAGCTTTGTACCGAAGCCCAAATCGCCCGCGTTTTGTTACTAACAGCCTTATTGACAACTCAAGACAAGTGGTAACTATATTGTGTCCTCTACGGTGTCTGATGTCGACCACGGACGAAGCTAGCTAAAGCTAGTAAGTGCATAATAATAATAAGTTCAAATATTGTATCAATGAAAGATTTTATCAAAAGCTTATCTGGAAGTAAACACATGTTATGAAAGCAATTAGTACCACTACTAATGGCTCTTTCTTTTCTGGACTGGAATCTGCACTTTTCTTTTAAAGGGTATCTTTGAAAAATTAGTAGCAACTTTTTTATTACTATGCTTTCTTGCATCTACGTTACCTAATTAACATTTGTGCAAAATTTTATGATTTTATACCCAGCGGTTTCAGCTGTGCGTTGATCGATCAGTCAGGGAATCATTCTGTCAGTTTCTTCTTTTATATAATAATAATATACCTCACACATCTCACACACGGCTGTCTGATCCCAAACTAGGCAGAGCCTGTGCTATGATGACCAGACTGCTTATAAACATACTTATATATTTTTAAATACATACATATTATAGATAAATTACACCCAGACACAGAACAAACGATCATGCTTATCACACAATATTAGTCCTGGGTGGGAATCGAACCCACGACCTCCGGCTTAGCAGTCAGGGGCACCAACCACTCGACCAACAGGCCCGTCATATATATAATAATATATAGATTAGTCTCCTCCTATCCGTGCTATCAAATAACTATTTCATTCGTATTACACATGATAGGTATAACATATTGAACAGATAGTAAAATGAAACATTAAAAACAATTGCTGCACGGATGGCGCAGTGGTTTAAGCGGTCGCCACGCCGCTTCCTACTGCGCCGAGGGTTGTGGGTTCAAACCCCACATGGGACGACACTTTGTGTAATCCACAAATTGTTGTTCTGGGTCTGGGTGTTCTTTGTGTCCGTTTCATGTATGTTTGTAAAGTCTCCTGCGAAACAGGATGTATTCCTAATGCGGGAGTTGTCTTTTAAAAAAAAAAAAAAATATACCTTTATAAACATTACAAACCGGAATCCAAGAAACCACAGACTTTACAACTCCACTTTTATGAAGGCTAAAAAGAAATGCCAATTTTACTTGTTTGAGCAAAGAAATCATCCTTGTAATAATGTAATAATTTGACACATCTCACACAGGATCATCTGATCCGACATTAGGCAAAGAGTGTGCTGTGGCAACCAGACTGCTGATAAACATACTTATATTTCTCTTAATTAGTACATGTAATATGTTGTTTATTAAAACAAAAAACCAAAGATGTTGCTCTGTAAAGAAAATTTATTGTCTAAAGAGACATATCACAAATATATTTTGCTAACATAACTTACACTTAAATACAAATTATAATCATTTACTAATCTGTAAAGAGATACAAATAATATTTTTACAATCTAAATTGGAATAAAATGTTTTTTTGAAAAACATCGTTCACTTGTTCTTTCACAAAGTCAGAGATATTTTTTCTCATTATAGAATCAACATAGTGCAAAGTGCTGTCACCGTAGATAATACTTTGACGTGTAGTCGAATTTAATTTAAACATAATGAAGAGCCATGGGACTAATCCCACCCACACGCCCACCACTGTAACTCACAGCAGTGACCCACGATCACACCGAGTTATGACACTCGGGAAGTCCCAGGAAAAAATTAAACTGTCTTGGAACCCGCAACGAAATTAATCAGAAGAAAATTGGAGGAGTTGGAAATACAGTAAATCCACTTCCCTCCTTAGCAAAGCAGGAATTATTATAATTAATGAAGAGCCAAAAGAGTTTTCATTTACATACATATTATGAATATGTAACACCCAAACGCAGAACAAATGACCATTCTCGTCTCTCGGTAATTTGTCCCTTGATGAAATCGAACCCACTGACGCTAAGCGGTCGGAATTACAAACCACTAAAGCAACAGGCCAGTTAAAGTTATATTAGATCTATCTAATATAACTTTAACTGGCCTGTTGCTTTAGTGGTTAACACTTTCATTTACAATAGAAAAATTAATGGGACTTCTAAGTCCCATTAATTTTTCTATTGTAAATGAAAGTGTATCAATTTAGTTACATAAAACAATTTTATTCTACTCAATTGCAAATGGCCTCAACCGCAATACCACGAATTTCTATTCGTTTTACCTACACAAAGGCAGTGTCGTGATTTTACCTGTATACTTCAATAAAATACTTGTATTAGCAACGGACCGTTTCTTAATTTTAACCAATTTAGCGTGGCTAACTCATTATTAGTTCAGTACCGTTGTACAAATATAAGTAACAGGTCGATGTCGATTTATAAAAAGGCAATAAGTCACGAGAATATCTGTTAAGAAAATATAATTTTTTAGAAATATTCCTACATGTAATATCGTCGGTCTACTTGTACTCGGTGACACTTCACTTCGTATGTGGCAACTGATAAACTTTTCAAAAGCGCCAAAGAATATTTAACAAAGAAGGGTTCTTTATATTTTTTGTTATTAATTTTAAACGCAAATAAAAAGTATAATTTTAAACCTAAATAAAAAATATCAAATACATTTTCAAGTTATAAACTAAATATTAGGCAAAAAATAATAATTTTACCAAAAATAGTAGTGATGATTTCATCATCATCATCATCATCAGCCTGTAATAGTCCACTGCTGAACATAGGCCTCTCCTTAGAAAGGAGGTTTGTGTGTGTGGGAGGAGTGATGATTTATTAAATCCATACCGACAATATATTCTTGCGTTAAAAATTGGGTTAAAATTTTCATTGATCCCATACTGTTTCTCTAGGTACTTATCTGTTATATATAATTAGCTTATAATAGCAACGGCTTTACTCAGCAGCAGCTTTACTCGATGAAAACTGTTTGTTTTCAACCTTTCGAGAACAATACACAATACTGTCACAAAAAAAGCCTGGAACCTGATGGGGTCAGGGGGCTTAATCGAAGAGTCACTATTTTCTTAACGCGAATGGACTAGTTAGTAAATACCCGATTGGCCATTGCCAGTTAGGCTTCTAGATTTATCCACAACGAAGATACAGGAGATCTAAAATATTCTGAACGATCAACGACTGATGCAAAGGATGGTAGAGCTTTTATATTTTGCTGCACTCGGGTAACAGTAGCCGGGGAACCAGGTATACCCTAGAAAGGAAAGCCCGGGTACCTTGACGTACCTCGGCCCGTCTACGGCCGGTAGTTGACCCTCTCCTGTGTGGGAACCCCCATGTTCCCTTTGTGCTCCCGAAAGGGCGCGCGCGCTCCGCAATGCGTATCGCCACCACCCTGGCCTGCTTCTGCTAGGGTGGAAGATGGCCTCACCTGCCACCCCTAGGCCTGCGCTTATGGAGGACGGAGGTCGTTCTGCGACCTGCGACCACCGTACCCCTAGATAAATATCTAACTAAACTCCTTACTGCAGTACACCGTTAACATTGAATACAAAAATCTATATACTTGATTCCAGGCTTTCACAACAAGTACCATAAAGACGAATTCCACAAAGAGCACAAGTTCTACGACGACTTCCACAAGAGTGGTGAGCACCACCGCTATGGCAAGTTCAACGCCAAGCACGCCAGCAATGAGAGCGGTAAGAAGAAAGCTCACCACGTCAATGCTGGGCACGACTTTGTTGAAAAAGGAAAGAAAGGTTACAGGTAAGTTGATATTATAGTTTATTTTTACCAAACTGCTGACAAACATACTTGTATGTTTCTAAATAAAAAAAAATGGTTATGCTTATCAATCATCATAATCAATAATCATCATAATTATTTGGTGGGAATTAAACCTACGACCTCGAGCCCGAATTTTCTTTTAGTTTTTTAAAAACTGTTATTTATTCTTTGCAGATTCTTAGAAATATACTTAATTAAAGTGAATTTAGATTTAAGATATTACCGTTCCAAGTTTCAAACTGATAAATTTAGTTGGGGAAAAGAGATTGAGATGAAGTTAATATTATTAAAAATATATACCATGTGTTTCATTACAAAGATCTGTTATAATCGACACATGTTCAACAGTTGGACGATTCCTCACATGCACTACACAAACACCAACAGTAACTGCTATCGAACCAAACCATAAGCGTAAGCCCGTGTGATAGGTTCGTATTGACTAGCGTCACAGCTAAGATAGAAGGAATTTCAAGATAAATAATAGTCATCATTAACTGGGTGTTTATAATTCATGATACCTAACGTTTAAACAAGCCCGTATTAAAGACATTAGTAACTTTCCAGGAATTAAGTGGGTAAACAGACATTTAATTTAATCTTACTAGTAAAGCTAGTTACACTGTGATCAAATATCGTCAAATTGACATAGAATAAAGTAGGTAGAAAGTTTAGAGGTCCATAGAAGTCTTTTAAGAACAAATTTTGTGGCAGCACTTGATTAAGGAGTTCTTAGGGCACTTGCAATTCTATACGAAAATTCCCAAATATGTTTTAGGGAATATTAAAATACCTCGGAATATCTAGTTATTAATGAGCGTTTTTCCTTCATTCCTCAGCAACAAAGGCTACGTTGACGCCGATCATAAGGGCCACCACGGGAAACACGGCCACGAGCAGCACCACGACCACCACTCCCAACAGGGCAAGAAAGGTGGGAAAGGAGGTGGCTCCCAGTACGCATACAAAAAAAACTAGACTTTGTAACCTAGATTATAAAATCGAATTTTCTAGAGGATCCTGTTACGTCAAATGTCAGTTGAACAGATTGACAAAATAGTTTGAAGATGGAAATTTAATGAATAGACTAATTTAACTAATCAATTGTTCAAAGTAAATTGGAAATGAACATCATCCACATCAACATCACCATAATTGTCATATGACATTCTTCCTAGTTTTTGGACTTAGCTTATCATGTAAAAAGTCAAAAGAGTTTTTGCTGTTACGCGATCCCGTGCCTAACGCTAACCCTCATTGGTAAAAAGTCAAAGTATTGATGTTTAAACAGACAAATGGAAAAGGTAAATTAGGGTAAGAAAAAAGGAGCATGTGGTTAGAGTAAGGGATACCGCAATAAGCTCAAAGAGGCCAGCCAAGCGGCTCCAGAGCCAAGAACTCCCATGTCCGTACTGTGATGAGAGGTTCCTAGGATAATTACAGCAATTGTCCATGAAATCGGCACATACGAATATAAAATATATAATTTATTGCGTTTAATTTAAAACTTTGATTGAAACTGTGATTGTCGATTGATTCAACTCATGCATCACCAACCGTGTTTTTAATTTATCCAAATTGCTTTATGACCGTCAATTTAATTATATTCTTAATCTCTGTTCTAATGAAATACAGTGATATCGAATGTTTGGACTAACGTTGAAACTACTAAACTCTTATTATATGTTATAAATTTTACGTTTCATTGTGACGATTTAATTACCATGTAATTGATTTATGTCAAACAATCTTTCTGTTCAAGTGTACAAATTACACGCCTATTGATCTTAAATTATCTCTTTGAGGTAACACTTTCTTTTCAATAACAAGTTTTATTGACGTACACAATCGATTAGAGATTACGTGACGTTTTATTTATTTTTTCTTTTATCTTTAATATCTATTTGCCTCTCAATGTGACTACTACCTCTCAATGTACTACGTGTCAACTTAATTTCCACCAGTTTCTAAAAGTTCGATTAACTACAAATTTCCAATTGTATCAAGAACCGGTGACAACACAAGACTAAAAATTTTCAAATAACTATGTAATAAAGTGTATTCGTTAATTACAATTTTAAAAAATCCAATGAGTTTCAAATAAGAATGAAAATTTTATTCTAAAAACCGTGGGATACTCCAGCCACAAATGTTACAAAAAGTTCACGGGTTTATTTATAAAAGTTGTAAAAAAGGACATCACTGTCAAGTCCAATCAATGTCCCGATGACAAAAGAGTTTTTATTTAACTGTCATTAATTTTTATTACGTATTGTTGTAGTAGATTTTTTGTCAGTTAGCCAATGAGTTTAGGCAAACCAAAAACTCCGAAAATAAATATATGTATTTCGAAAAACACTCTTCAATTTCCATTTAGTAACTTACTTGCTTATTCAGTGCTGTATATTGCTTAATTAGTTAAAATATGATAATAAATAAATCTAATTTAAGGTGTTAATTAAAAAGTATATAAACGGATACCGATGACAGCTGTCTTCAAAATCAGGCGCCAAAATTGACGGACGTAAAACAATGAAAAAGTCCGGGAAGCATTAAAAAATAAATCAATAAAACGCATCATTACACATCATCTCAATGATATCTATCATCGGTATCTTAATAAAATATGCCTACTGTAAGAGCATGTCATGGTCTTCTAATACTGCTCCGCGAAGACCATCTTAAAATAATCAATAATAATCCTATGCTCATGAATGTGGATCAATATCCAGTCATGGATATGGGAAAACGGTATCTGATTTTTCGTATTATCATAAGTAAGTACGAGTGTGCGAGTGCCCACGCCAGAGACTCAGTGAGCCACAATTTTGTGGTACAGTATTTATAATTTTAAGTGTATTTAATTTCTTAATTTTGTATTGATTTTCTATTAAACGAAACGTAGATTTGTGGTGCCTTTTATTACAATAATACGTGTAACATTTATTTGTAGTGAAGATATGTAGTTAGAAGCCCAAAATCGATCTAAGTGGCGTGCAATGGGAGAGGCCTATGTCCAGCAGAGGACTGCGATAGGCTTATGATGATGTAGTTAGAAAGTTACCATATAATAGTTTTAAAAACCATGTGACCATGACATGACCAAGTACATGCTTGTTTAGGTATGTTCCTAAAAGTATATTCAGGTAATATGTAAGTTTAGGTACATAAACAGGTATAAAAATCTGTGGCTATACCTTAGGGGGTATTTAGACGAGGCGAAAACTTTAAGACTACCGTCTTAACATTATATTCTTCTCGAGTAGGCTGGCGCAACAGCAGGGTAGTGTTTGGTTGCCGCGCTCGTTCGCTCAAATGTAATGATAATATTTTCGGACATCTGACACACAACAATGTTATCAAGAGTAACTGTATGAATCAGTGGCAATGGGCATTGTCATCATCATCATCAACAGCCTGTAATAGTCCACTGCTGGACATAGGCCTCTCATTAGAAAGGAGGTTGTGGTCTACTATATGCAGCAATAGTAGCATACAGGAATTCATTGATAAATTTACTTTTATGTGACTACATAAGCTTTAGCGACTACTAAAGCTTATTTTACCATAGCAACCAATTTGAAACACTTATGCGCCCTCCGCAGCATTCGTGTTAAGTACGCACAAATGATTTTAAAGTGTCCTTAGAGTAGCTCTGTTTAGGCGAAAACTATTTTGTTGCATAAAAATATAAAACAGATTCTAAAAAGTGCATCCTTGTAAAATAGCAATATTTATTTGAACTTTTGTCTTTAACACCAATGCTTTTAAAGACAGTTTTCTCTCTTTCGAAATATTATATTTACAGTCAGTTTGCAAGTTCTATTTGTCACTTTCAAGAAAAGGTTCCTGCATTAAAAAACAACAAGCTGTCCTGAAATTGTCTAGTTGTTTCATCTGCACCCTCAATAAAACATCTAGACCCTCAATAAAACCATCTAGACCCTCAATATGAACATCATCATCCCTTGAACAGAACATTAGTCTTCGAGCATATTGTCTTCTTGCATTCGTCTCTTTTCTACTCATAATATCAAACTGAGACGGAACAGTGTCTTTACTATAAAGATACTCCTCGAATTTCTTCCTAACTCTAATTTCCCATAGTATGGGATATACTTGTTATGTCAAACTTCTATGAAAATTTCCGTGAATGAGATCTCAGTGAGGTTACCCGTGGTGATTTAGTCGCTGCCTGCACCTACGCACACTTCCTGTATTTACTTAAGCCTGATTCACGTTTATAGCAATAAACGTGATATTATCACGCTTCAGTAGCGTTTTCGCATCACGCTGTTATTTGTGTTTTCTATAAATCTGAGTTCAAAGAGATTCAAAATGAATAGAGTTGTTCTCGTTACAAATGCGAAGAACAACTAAAGGTTGCTTTTACAAGCTATGAAAGAAGCGCATTTAACGAAAAGCGCTACTGCATCGCTTAAAAATTGAGTTGTGTTTCAGCAAGTCTAGATGTTTACAAGAAACCTCATTACTTAAAATTCTCTCAAAAGAAAAAACATTGTTTTCGTTGGCAGTTAGGAAGAGTTATGTCATGGACTATTTACCAGACTTGCACCAGACCGAATTCAGTTTCAGCTTTACCGAGACGGGAACCCTAACCAGCCCGCCGTGTAATCTTGCCAGTGGATTTTCAGTACGACAGTGGAGGCCTGTACATGTTTTCTTTAGGGCCATAAGTGGAAAATACTTACTAAATAGTATGGTGGCAGATAATTCTGAGATCTTAGTTGGTTCTACACCTATTGAAATGGGAGATCTTTGAGAACCTTTGGTCGTAAGAAGGAAGCCTCCTTTTTTTTTTTTTTTTTTTTTTTTTTTTTACGTGTGGAAATCCCCTCGGACCGTCACCCCGCCGGGGCTCTCGTTCGGCGGGGCGGTGTGTCGGACTCGAACCGACTAAAACCACACGGTGTGCCCTCTTTGCGCTTCCAGTTTGGGAAGGGTCCAGGTAGCTATCTCCTTCTGGACCCCTCCCAGCGCCGGCCCGCTCCTGACGCGGGCTCCGTCTCAGTGGACCCTCTCTTTAGGCGGCGTCCGGCACACGCGGACGCCGCCCCCTCGCGGCTGGCCAACTAATGCGGGTGGAGGGGAGAACCCATCCCGTCCACCCGCGGCCACACTCAGGGCGGCATGAGGCGCAGGTGAGCGCGCCTCCGCCGCCCGGTTCGCCGGCGGCGGATCAGGTCCGAGTGGAGGTCGTCTTCCCGGGCCTTCTCCGCCGCCTCCTTCTGCGAGATTACCTCCTCGCAGAAGGTTGCGACCGCGGTAAAACAACTGTCGCTACCGGCCATGGAGCGAATTACGGCCGGTAGCGAGAGATCCGCTCCGATGACTGCAGTGAGGGCCCGGCGCTGCGTCGCCCATGCGGGGCAAACCGCCAGCGTGTGCTGGGCCGAATCCTCACTGCAGTCGCAGTGGTGGCAGGCGGGACTCGATTCCCTCCTAGCGACCGAGTACAGGTACTTTCCGAAGCAACCGTGCCCGGAAAGCACCTGCGTCAGCCGGAAGGAAAGGGTCCCGTGCTGCCGCCCTGCCCACTCGGCGATGACCGGCTGGAGAGCCTCCAAGGCGGCGAAGCCAGCGCGTGGAGTCTCCAGCCGGAACGACCATCTCACCATAGTGGCTCGGCGAGCGGCTTCGCGCCACTCGCGCACGTCTTCGGGCGGAGGGCGAAATCCGCTCTCCGCCCGGAAGTCAGCCACTCGCCGATAAACTTCGGCGAGCACTTCCGCCTCCAAATCCCACGGGGGTGTTCCGGCCAAGGCGCAAGCCGCCTCGGTGGACACCGTGCGGTATCCGCGTATGGCTCTGACCGCCAATATCCTCTGGGGGCGCCAGAGGCGCGCCCTATTCGGGGCGGTCAGAGCCGCCACCCACACCGGTGCACCATAAAGCGCCATGGACCGGACAACCCCCGCGTACAGCCGCCTCGTGGGAACACTGGCCCCGCCCAAATTGGGCAAAAGTCGCCCTAGGGCGGAGGCAGTGTCCACCAGCTTCGGACCAAGCTGTCGGAAGTGCTCGTCGAAGAGCCACCTACCGTCTAGGACCAGACCCAGGTACCTCATCTGGGCCCGGACCGGTACGAGGACCGAGCCGACCTCGATTGAGGCGCCGGCGGGTGGACCACGACGGGGCCCATGAAATAATAGGGCCTCCGTCTTATCCAGGGCCACCCGCAAACCCAACGCCTCAATGCGCCCGACCACCTGGGAAACTCCCGTGGCGGCCAGGCGCGCCGCCTCCTGGAAGTTAGCCCCCCGGGCCGTGACTAAAGTGTCATCCGCGTAGCAGATTACACCCAGCCCGGGGGGGAGACGCCCTCGTAGGGCCCAGTCGTACCCGATGTTCCACAGGAGAGGTCCTAGGACAGACCCCTGCGGAACACCACACGACATGGCCCTGCGTCTCAAGACGCCATCTCGGTCCTCGTACATGACGGTTCGCTCCTCAAGATAGTCTGCCACCAGCCGCCTCAGGTACTCCGGCACTCCGTGGTAGCGGAGCGCTTCCCTGATGCAGCTGAATGGCAGACTATTGAAGGCGTTGGCGATGTCCAAGGACACCGCCAACACCACTCCGCCGCAGCTCACGGCCTCCTCGGTCACGGCCCTTAGGCGCATTACGGCATCGATCGTCGAACGCCCCTCTCGGAAACCGAATTGGGCTTCCGACAGATCGGGGCCAACCTCGCAAAGGTGCCGGACGATGCGGGCAGAGAGCACCCTCTCAAAAAGTTTGCCCGCCTCGTCCAGCAACACGATAGGCCTATAGGCCGCGACCGATTCGGCAGACCGTCCCGGCTTCTGCAGCAGGACCAGCTTCCCGCATTTCCAGCGCTCAGGGAAGCGTCCGGACGCCAGGCTAGCGTCCAACACCCCCCTGAGGTGGTCCGACATGTAGTCGAGGGCTCGGGCCATCACTCGGGCTGGAACCCCGTCCGGCCCGGGGGCGGTGTTCTTGGATCGAATCCGTAGAACAGCCGCCCCCAACTCCGATTCCCTGACGGGCGGAACATCGACCTCGCTGCCCCCGTCGTCTCCGGCTGATGCAGCCATCGACGGGGGTGTGTGCTCCGCCCTCTGCGGGAATAAGCCCTCGACCACTTCCTGCAGGAAGCTGGGCTGGAGAGTCTCCGTAAGGGGGGGGCCCGACGTGCGGAGCTTTTGACGCACCGCACGATAAAAGAAGGAAGCCTCCTCATGTAAGGTATCTTCTACAATAAAATAACGTTGATTTAATTCCTTATTTTATTTTGATTGTGAAACCGGAATAAAAAGAAAAAAAATGAAATAAAAAGAAATTTGTTATATAAATTACCCATGCATCCATTTGATCTAGTTACAATTTGTATTTATTAACCTCTTTTCAGGGTTCTGAAATAAGAACTATTAAAGTCATTGTAACATTGCACTGGACACTATACACTAACACCTCTGTAATATACAACATTAGGTCCAAAGTACCGTACATAGCGGCCAGTACACAATACAAAAACATTTCTTGACCAATAAATAACAAAGGATTTCGTGACTGAGCAATACATAAACACGCTTTACGTAGACTTTATGTACTAAAGGCTACATAAAAAATTTGAACATTATATTAATATTTAGACTACAACTCTAATAATGTTTACCTGTATCAACAGATTATTAAATTTTAGAACTAATTTTGTACAATTTTTTTACTGTTCAAATCCCATCGCGCTTTCAATAGACTCTTGCAGGGACGAAATTTGAGAGGTACCGTCGTCCATTTAAAAGCTGTAGAGTCTATTAAAAAGATTGTTCAGTTTGTTAAGAAAAAGTATTTATATTTATCGGTTATTGTCGGCGCAGTGAGTAGGTTGAAACGTTCAGCCTATATTTGCCCCTAACAACAACAACAACTATTGTGACAACATTAGGATGGCGAGGCCCTGTCAACAATCAGTTTCTTCCATAGGATGGTACCATTAAGGATGGATTTAATATAATTTTAAGTTATTTTGCACTAAAAAAATCTGAGGTTCAAAGATGTAAATGATCAAGAATTGTCTTTAGAAAACAATTCCTAATCATTCTTAAAATGGTACAAGAAACAAGTGGTTATACTTTGGGTAATTTCACACACTTATCAATGTGAACTAGAATGGTTTTTTACAAGGCAATTCCAAGCTCTTTTTTGGATCAAAATATTTGACGTAGATGCCAACTGTGTGATGAGGCCGTCTAGGGAAGAATACGCGCTGGCCAGCCGCGTCTACGAACTCCGAGTAGTCCATAGTCCAATCACGTTTCATGCCAGCACGTTCACAGAGCGAAGCTCTGAAAAAAAAACGGCTAATGTAAATTTATTAATTTATAACCACATGACGTTGTGTACCCCAAGGTTTTAAGGGGACCATATGAGTAATTGGCTCCCATTTATAGACCAGATAGAATATAGACAGACAATCTGGAAACTAAATAGACGGGATAATTATGAAGCAGCCAAATAATTGCCCAAACATTTTGTCGATTGCCTTTTTTGCGCTTTCTCCCCTCGGTCAAACTCAAACTCTCTTTATTTCATTTTTTTTTTTAAATTGTTTGAAATCGTCTTTTAATGTAACTCTAAAGTCATAGATCAACACACACAAAAGCAACAATCTCTGTTTTGTCTAATAGTAAGCAAATAAATTCAACAAAAATCAAACCCATACAAAATATGCTAAAATATATAAAGGGTTGAGCCTTATGAGAAGAAAGGGCAAACAAACTGATGGCCACTCTTTTGCAATTCACAGATAGATACAATGGCACTATTAAATATACCATAACATTGTTTTGATGTGTGCTGTATGAAACTGTATCGTCTAGGAAAGATTTTAGATTATTTGTCAAAACTCTCGCCTTCAGTGGTATTTAGAACCATCACTAGCAAGAAACTGCAGGACTGTTTCTATGATGGTAAGGTTAAAGAGACTATGGAGGAGATACTAACGTATACTGACTGACAGCGATATTTTGGACGAGAGGATACCGTAAGTCCTCCGCATGAGCCAAAGCTTTCTTAACCAACATTAGACCCACACCGTGAGAAGCAACTTCTTGAGCAACACATAGAACTTCAATCTGTGAATAAAATAGTGGCACTCCGGGAGTGCCGACAGAAGTGAAAACCTTGTTTTTTTTTTATAACAGTTTTTTTTTCGATTCGAAACAATTTGACATAATTAGATATATTTCTATGTTGTACGTATATACATAGTATATGTTTATATTATAGTTATATTATCAATGTATTTCAACCCTAACTCAACTCTCGTGTAAACGGGTCCAATATATGTAGATACATACATCAATGTATTTCAACCCTAACTCAACTCTCGTGTAAACGGGTCCAATATATGTAGATACATACAGATTAGAGGTGTCGGTAACGGTAACAGTGTCGCGAGTTGAATGGCTTTTTCCTATCTCAAAAAATGTATATATTTTGATTGCTGTTCAAATGGGTGCAAATGAGCAGACAGGTCATCTTTTGGCAAGTGACTACCGCCACCCATGAACAAGCTACAACTTAAAGAGACTCGAAGAGCGGTTCTTCTCTTTCAGTACCACTCCTCCGGAATATAAGGGTCGGGATCCGTTAACTTCACTCACTCGGTGAAACGCGACGTAAGAAATACATAACATGATTTTCCGTGAGGCCGTTGTATCACTCCGGTTGAGCCACTTTTTAATATAATACAGATCCTCTTTATTAACGACAGCGAACTAGAAAAATATAGCTAGTCACCTCATAAATAAAATCGACATTATATTTTTTGAAGAAGTTGGGGCTTTTCAGGCAGTGTGCACAGAAGTACATCCTATGTCTCTCGGGCCTGGAGGCCGTGACGTGAGCCCACTCCTCGAGCTCGTCAATCATCCAAGGGTACTGTTTAGTGCACACGCACACTCCAACCAACTTTCGTTCGTTTGTTCGTTTGATGCGTTCGTAAGCTAAGAAACGATCCCCTGAAACATAAAAGTTTATAAAGCTTTCAAGGTACACTATATATATAGATAACTAGCGGACCCGACAGACGTTGTCCTGTCAAATTTGACACTGCGATGGTAGCGCCGTCTGTCTGATCCAATGTAAAACATTCCAAAATCAACAACTACTAATAAATTAAAATTTAATTAAAAAAATATTGTCCAGCGGACAAAATTGTGAATCTAAACCATTCCCAGATCCCCTTGAACACACACAAAAAATTTCATCAAAATCGGTCCAGTCGTTTGAGAGAAGTTCAGTGACATACACACTCACAGAAGAATTATATATATAAAGATTTAGGTTCAGTCAGCCCGTGTCTGTCATCGTTAAGGAATTCAAAGGTATGCGATACCTATTAAGTTTAACAAACGCAAGAAATTGCCGTATAAACAATATCCCTTCTAAAGCTTTTTCCTTCTAAAAGATTTTCATATATATATTCACCTGCCACTGTCATTGTTTATTTCTTTAATTTTTTGCCTTAATGAAAAACGATTGCCGAAATCATAAATTGCTTGAATCGCTCTCTTCTGTGAATTTCTGTACGTAATTATGTGACTCAACTCCTCCTAAACCGATTTTGATTCAATTTTTTGTGCGTGTTCAAGTATATAGGAGCAGAGAACCAATGAAAAATATTGGTAAAATAGGGAAAATTTATTCAGTTTCAGTTTATTTATTGGGTCAGCTAGTTTATAGGTAAATATTTAATCGAAGTAGTTACAAATCTCTATACGTACCAGAATATGAATACATATCAGTAAGCGTATCCAGATAGGGGGATTCCAATGGCATCCATAAACCAACCACACTTGGTTCCCGAGGCCAGTGCTCGGTGTAAAGAAACGAACGAATTAATCGAGCGTGGCATTGTCGACCGTATTCTATCGTTATTGTGCTGGGATCGAAGCACTGGAAACAGATCAATAAAATACTGAAAAATCAATAAACATAAACTACTATAATGTATTAGGATAGTTATAGGCGTCGCAATATTAGTTTCCCAATAAGATTCAAACCCGACGATGGCACTTCATCAAGAGCTTAGGTGATTTGTCACGTAAGCTATACAGACCAGACTTAAGGTTTTGACATCGTTAATACAACAAAAAACAACACGATTTATTGAATATTCGTAAACACACGATATGCATGTAAACTACACTACGGTCGAGTACAAATACTACAACAAAATATCCTTAAGTTTCTGAGTACTTCGCATATTAAATTTTATTTACCTTGTTGTGGGTTGAAATTCTAACGTACATACAAAAACTTTAATGTGACAGTTAACTAAAATTATTACTATAATTGAAAACGTCTTTATGCATAGATTTAATAGAATTCCTGCAACTTTGCAACCACAAGTTTAATTTTGTGTTTAGAGTTACGAGCAGAGACAGAGCAGAGTATTCTGTTAACTATCTCTACTCTGTCTCTACTCTCAACTATCATAAAATAACCAACCATTCCTTTTTCCCACCTCCTACTTTCTCATCAAACTAATAATGCTAACTAAATGCTAATAATGCTAATAACTAAAAATGCGTTCTACTTTTATATTTTTTCGCTAAGACGCTAATGATCTAGTCATGTTAATGATTTAAAAACAGAAGATTGAATGTATGAGTGAGTTAAATCTACAATAAAGCTACGCTCACCGGTGTTCGGTCCTTTGGATATCTTCGACAAATGGAAGAATGTCTATTGGGATTCAAACTTTTAGTTGATTTGCGCCTAATCAGATCGAACATGGAAGCGGTTCCAGTACGCAGAGTGCTATTTTGGGTGTACACATTCACTGCGACTGTTTTAAACGCGTTCACCCAACTCATTCTGGATGCTTCAACCGCTTCTTGCTTGAACCATGACTTTCTTAAAATTTCATTTTTGTAATTATGTTTTTATATATTTTTTATTTTGTTACTACATGATTTTGGAAAAAACGTTTTTTTTCACAATCAGTTCGAGTGATTTGACAAAAAAAAATCTTTTAAAAATTGGTGGATTAAACTGTCATTTATACTTATTAAGTCAGAGTCTAGTAAGAAGTCTCTACTTCGAATTCAATCATCAGCTTGGTCACATGCCGCTGCATAGTCCAAAATATCTAAATAATAACGCAGTTAATAAGTAGTATTCAACATAACATGTTGCAAAAACCTTCTACAGCAAAAAGTTATAAAAATCTTTTTCTCAATAACATATACGGGTGTAAGTTCAAATTAATATAAAATGTTTAGTTCTGTGGCCCCTTAAATCTGCAGAAAAAGCCACCGTCTTAATCAACTATGGATGCGGCAATTTGAGCATTATATATAAACCTATAGGTATATATAAACCCATTCGAAAGTTGATGATTTGTAGTTACATCATTTTGAAAAAATATTCATTGCGATTACTATCTTCAGTCCAATCATCTTAGGGTTTCACCCAGGAATCTAACGGAATAAGCTGAATACTTGTATAAACCTGTATTTAGATAGTGCAAGTGCTGTCTGAAAATTCACGTGTCAACTTCCTTAGCTATTCACGGTCAAACGTCGCAAAAATCAGTTTTATGAGAAGATCATATTTGCCATCAACCGTATTTACACTTAATATAAAAGAGAGGATAAAATTTTCTATAAAGTAGTATTTAAGGAAAAATAAAATAGACTGGGATTCACGACTGACCCTGCACTAAGTACGTACAGCTGAGCGTACAGCTGCCTGCGTACGCCTGCCTGCTCAGTGCGTACAGCTCTGAGTACGTACAGCTCAGCGCTCCATCTTCTGCGACCTCTATTTCAAAGACGGTTCAACGTATAAAAAAGGCTTCAGGCAAAATTGTAGAGAATTTTATCCTCTACAACTTTTATTTAAATGTAAATATGGTTGAAGGCAAATGAAACAAGATATTCTCAAATATTTTAGGACGCTGTCATGTGACCATGTGAATTTTGAGACAACAATTGTACTATCAAAATAAAGGTTTTTACAAAAATTTAGCTTAATCCGTTAGATTCCGAAATCAACCAAAGTGAGTCAAAGAGATGACAAAAAAATTGCCACCATTTTTCTGAAGCCTTGGTATCACTACGGTCAAGCAGACCCATTTATGTCCCGGCGTGGCTCTCCATTGCTCACTACATTATTGGGCAACTGCAAGAACAGTTGCAGTTTGCGCAATGTTCTTTGGGTTGTAGTCATTGCGATGGACATGTATATCTCTATGGTATATCTTCATAATAACTTCTGCAGATGACGAAGATAAACGCAATCATAATCCTTTAAATCACAGTTTTACTTAAACATAAACGTTCCAAACTTTTTGGAGAAATTGGCCAACTAATAATTTAAATTCAGAAATCCTTAAGAAAGACAATCAACTGTCACATCAACCGTCAATATGCCATCACATTCAAGTTATTATTATTTTAATTAATTATTTTTTTAATAAATAAAAGGCCCTAAACACGATGAATAGGCGTAAATAAACTACGAAAGTTTCAAGTTATCAATAAAACCATCCTCGGCTGCCGATTATGTCTGTATTGTCCAGTTTATTCAGATTGCCTACAGTGAGACATGTAGTCAAGAAACCAGGAGTAAACTGGTCTTACTCAAAGCCGAGGTCATATGCAGATAAACATAAAACAGAAATTAACAAAGATAAACAAAGTGTAAGTCTGAGCAAAAAGTTTTAAAAGTAGGAAACCGCTCTGTCATCCACCAGTCACTTCGTTTTCAAACTTGTAAGTTTTGACAACTTTTTAGTAAGGACCTCTTACAATGAGAGTATCCTAGTGGTACCCTATACCTACCTATATATATGATGATACGTATAGAGTTTACTTCATTCATTAAAAAAAGATAATTACCGCAGAAATCATGTATAATTAGTAACGCAAATCAATGTAGACGCACAAGCTAGTAATATTTTAAGTAGGAAAAGTGAGTTCGTTTGTTTGTTTGCTTGTTTGTTAGTTACACACTGTATGTGTGGGTGTATTCTGTATTAGTTGCGCGCACACACACGCGTGCTAGCTAGATTTATAAATGATAAATGAAATGACAGTGAGATAGTTACGATCAATTTTACGCCTAATTGTGAAGTAGCTAATATTTTGTTTCCTTTGTGAATTGCATGTACATATACAACAGCAGCTTCAGGGCACCGAGAATGAACAGCGTATGCGTGTTCGTCGGGCGCGACCGTCCGACGTTCCACGGGTCCTCCGCTTCGTACGGGAGAATGCGCGGACATCTTGGCCGGGATTCATCTCGCCTCCAACCCCTGCTCATACAGTCCTTTGCGACTACATCAGCAGGGCATTATCACAAGGTGAGGAATCTTTAATAATAATAAGGGTGCTTCTACACGGTGTAAGTAGCTGAAGTGGGCAAAGACGCGGGTTATTTGCGTCAGTAGCATGCACGAGTTACTTGCATGTTTGGTTGATATAATGCGCATGCTGCTTGCGAGGTTTACATGTATGCGTCTTGCTCGTTTCAGATTTGACACAGTTGAGTAGCAGGGTGCTTGTACACGGTGCAAGTTGCTAGAGCAAGTAATTGCGTTAAAATGTCATAAACAAAAATTCTTATAAAATCATTGATTAAAAATGTTATACTACCAAAGTTAATAAATTTACTGGAAGACGAATTAATACCTGTACCTGCGCAGGTAACCCGCGCAAGTGGCCTGCACGCACCGCGGAGCGTGTAGGTTACATGCGCTGGTACATGCTCGAGTCGCTGGAGACGCATAGTCCTTTCCGCGAAGCAATAATCAAATAATCAAAAAATACAAGTGCGTTACCGCCTTCCAGTAACCTCACCCACCCAGTGAAAGCAATAAAAGAATTGCTATACACTTCTTTACTGTGACGTCGTGGTATGTGCAGAAACATGGCACTCCTACCGCGAATCATAATCAATCATAGTTACGGGAGACAGAAGTTGGATACTGCACAAAATTCAGTTGAAACTGCAGGGTTACAATATTTGAACTTACCTTAATCAACTGTTTAAATTCTTTTGAAATTTCCAATATCACGCTCCTTTACAGGCCATTCTATGTTAGCTGAACAACAGGAGTCGCGCCGCGGTTGGTCACAAATACGAGGTCTAGCTCTCGGTTTGGCTGTTTGTCCATGGGATGCTGAGATTCTGGAGCGTTGGGCGCGCTGTATCAGATGTAGTCGATCAAAGCGACTTGTGCACTTTACAGCGCACTGCCTGCGTGCGCCCGCGTTGCATGAAAAATACCGTGTTCATAATATATTACAGGTTCGTTTCTTTCTTTTGATAACATGATCAGTTTTCTGTATTAGGGTCGCCAATATGCTTTGTGAGCTTCATAATTTACAGCATCTTGCGACATAAAGTTAACTTTAGCAGTGATTACCTAACTTAGACTTTTTATAATCATCGAGATATTTCACTAAAGAAGATAGAGGCAGAGTACTTACTCTCCCTCTATCTTCTCTATTGAAACTTGTGCTACTACTTTAGGACATACATGAAGATAACTATGTCCACGGGAACAGTTCTTCTTAAATAAAAAGTGCTATCTCAAAAAGTTTAGCCGATTTTCAGTTAGACAGGGAAAGTATTGGACTGGAGTGCTTTAGGCTCGACAACACAACTCAACGAAAACTAGGTAGATTTTAATTTATTTTCCAGTGTGAAATGTACTTTATTTCCTTTGCTATATCGGTTACAACGTGTAAGCCAAAATTTAATGCTAAGCTTATGAACATTGATGTTGATTCTTTTATTTTATAAAGTGATTTGCCAGATTTTATTAAAGTAGAAAAGAATTATCTATTTCTTGGAGTAAAACAACTGTATTACTTCAAGAAATAGGGTCATTTATAATGCATTGCTCAATTTTAGTTTAAACTGTGTTTTAATACTCTATTTTTTTGTGTTTCATTGCGAGTTATGGTTAAGAGATTTGTTACAGGTAATTCTAATAGTTCCACGAAATTCCCCAAAGAACTCTGAGATAGTTCACATCTTAGCGAAAAACGCAATACAGAGGGGTCGTGACGTAGGCATCCCTGTTTTACGCTTCGATGTCATGGAGAACACTGTGTGAGTATCATACATTTTGTGTTTTCTAATTATTTCTGAGGTTAGGACAGAGTGGTTGGTTTATTTTATGACCTGCCTAATGATAACCCACATTGGGAATATAATTATACTAAGACAGGATGAAAAAGAAGTAAATTTGGGTAAGAAAAAGCAAGGCAAGAGAGCTAGGGTAATAGGAAAGGGGTTTCCGGAAACCTTTTCAGTAAACGAATATGAAATTGCAGTAGATAGAACAGCCTAAAGTCTGGAATGTCCGTCCTGCGATAGAGAGGCCACTAGAACCTGGTGCTCTCGGTGTTTTTGGCCTGTCGCATCTTAACGCGCCTTAGTTTTATTTTTATTGACTTAAATGTGTGTACCGGAAAATTGCTGCCATATTAAAAAAAAATGCTGAGTTAATGTGGGTGTCGTAAAAGCCCACTAAGTGAGCAAACTACGCAGGACAACAGCACTACAAAGAGAAGCAAAACTTGAAAAGAAAACCCCCCATACCAACCCGTCTGACCATCGTCGTATAGTAAGCCAAGACATCCTGTCTAAGGAGAGGCCTATGTCCAGCAGTGGAGAAGTCTACTGCTTCTATACGGCCTTTAGTAGTAAAGGCCGATGATGATGAGATAGAATATTTCTCTTCCTGGAAAACTTGTCTACCATATGACTGCACGGATTGCGTAGTGGTTTAAGCGGTCACCACGCCTCTTACTACCGAGTGTTGTGAGACGACACTTTGTGTGATCCACAAATTGTTGTTCTGAGTCTGGGTGTTCCTGTCTGGGTGTTGCCGTTTCATTCCTTTGTCGCGGGGAACTTTACATACATTCGTATGTTATAGGATATATTCCTAATGCGGAGTAGTCTTTTAAAAAATAATAATTGTGAAAACCGCATCAAGGTCCATTGCGTTGCTTAGAAGGATTTAGCACTTATGCATCTTACATACCTATTAATAAATTCGTATGTTTGATATCAAGCATCTCTGTGATATGGGACAAGTTGTCCAATTATTTAGATTTTCAATTTTTAAGAACTTAAGGTTTGTAAAATAATATATTATTTTCAGCGCAAAAGCTTTGGAAGAGATGAAACTAAATAAGGAATGGCAGTTCTCATACGACATACTACCAGATACAATAAAAAGTCAAAATGTTCAACCTGTGCACCTAGAAAACATTACCGACGCCAATGTAATGCAAAATGCAAAAAACACTGCAGAAAGAAAACCATCGAAAACAATAACAGAAAACAGCATAGTAGTGTATACGGCATTCGCTGATAAGCTTTGATAAATCCTTAAATATGTAATGGCGGCCTACTGACGGCTGAGTGACATTAACATCCGGCAATAGAAACTTTCAATAAAAAAAGTTAAAAGCATTCTTGAGTCTATATTTATAGTCTATGTGTACCATATATTTTCATTTGTCTTTTTAGTTTTCAACTTATTTTAGGTTAATGAATTTTTGTATGAAAGGCCGTATATAGGATACGTACTTGAGAGTTCAGATTTTTCTTGGGAGGTGTCAGTCAAAGAAAAAAAATAGAAATATATCCAAAAGCAGAAAGTTGGGGAAGCCCCTGGCAACAATTTTATTGAGACTCGGATGAGTAGGGCTTATCTAATAGACATCCAAACACTGCGTATTAAAACTATTGTTTTCATCAAAATTAAATATTTACGAATTACTGTACCAACATGAGTAAAAGACGGGCCTGTTGGTCTAATGGTTAGTTACCCTGACTGCTAAGCCGGAGGTCGTGGGTTCGATTCCTACTCAGGATAAATAATTGTGTGATGAGCACGATGATTTATTGTGTCTGGGTGTAATTTATGTATGATATGTATGTATTTAGAAATATGTAAGCATGTTTATCAGCAGTCTTGTTACTATAGCACAGGCTCTGCCTAGTTTGGAATCAGACGGTCCTGGGTGAGATGTGTTAAGTTATTATTATTATTTACCTTACTTTATTACTTACTTTACTTTATTTACCTTATTAGGAATAATTATGCGGTTGAATATTATGCAATGAAACTACTTTCATGTGGAATATAATAAAGCAATCTAAAGCTGATTCTACTTACATTGGTTAACTTTTACAGTATCAATGCAGCAATTTTAAACCTATTTGATTCGCAATCTGAGCAAACCCACGTTACACAATACCACAAGTACAAAACGCCTATCAAGAAACTGATACACATGAGTAGGTAGAGATAATAAACTCGAATCAATCTTATTTGAAAAAAAAAGCACCGATTCAATAAAACACATTCAAATTTCTTAAGTTTGTTAGAACTTGCGGTATTTTTTCATTCCGTATTGATTTAGCAACACGTTTTTAAACTACTTAAAGTGATGCAACGAAACGTTTCTTTTCTGTTGTCTTCAAATAGAAGGTCGTAGAAAATTCTGGATTATTTTTGGTGTGGAATAGCGTTATTAAATGCCACAGTTAAGAATGAAACGACAAGTTTTTTATTGTAATAAAGAGTATTTGAGACAGAGGAGTTTGAGAATATTTTGATTGTCTAGGTAGGTGGTATACGGTCTGGTTACGTAGCACAGCAATACAATATCGTCAATTTTTAGGATTCCGGACCTCAAAAGGTAAAAAAGAAACCCTTATAAGATCACTTTCTTGTAGACGGACTGTTTCCGTCTGTCCGTGTCTCACCACCGATTTTCTCAAGAACGGGTAGACCTAGACCTATATATATATATATATATATATATATATATATATATATATATATATATATATATAAGACTGAATTGTTTATAATAGCTTCGTGAAACCAACGTAACCCATTTTTTTTTTTTAAATTAAGAGATAAAAGAGGTGACTGTGGGTTACCCTTTAGAGATAAACATATGGCGGACTTTTTTGTAGATCTTTTTGAAATATAGTTACAATTCCGTAGTTCATTATTTTTTCTATCTCGTAGGGTTTAGCCAACGTTTGCAATGTGAGCGCACACAATAATATTTTATAAAGATAAGATAATTGAATTAAAAATTGGTTTTCGGTTCAGTTGTTTCGGATCCTATTCGTTACAAACAATTACACAAAAAATCAAATCTTTTCTCTTTATAATATTAATAATATAGGAAAATAGTTACCAATTATTTGAATTAAAACTAAAATTATAGATATGTCCAATAAATAAATAAAATGATGATATATAAAACAAAACATAAAATGGTGTCTGCCTGTGTTAATCTATTAGCCTGTTTCGAAACGGTCGATACCTTTTGTTTTTTTTACGAGATGTTATCGCGAATTCATTACAAATAAACTCGCCTAAAAATTTTAAACCTAATTAAAAAGTAACTAATATCTTCAATCAGGTCCTATAGCGATTTAGCCATGCACTTTGATTATCGATATGAATTCATTCCAAGTTAACAGAACAATACATTTGGGGGATTGTCTTTACTGTTTACAAACAAGGTCGAATAAACCAAGTCAGTAAGTTAATACGACAGGTTTTATTTACACGTGTCGTTACACAAAAACATCCTATGACACTTCAAAAATATTACCACTGATTTAATAGTTGTTTTCAAAGGTTACATCAAATTACCAGAAATTTATTGTTATGTATGTATGTTATAGTTTGTGGAACGACTTTATTCCGTAATATAAAGAATAAATAAGTAACAAGTCTCTGTTCAAGATTTCTGACGTCCATAACTTTGTACTTTATTAAGCAGATAGATGCACATCGTGCAGTATTAGAAGTGTCTGAAGAAAGTGTTCTTCTATTCACGGGTCACTGCTGAGTAAACCCCAACAGGCAATTCGACACGTTTGATGTAACTGTTAGAAAAATGTAAAGGTAAGTAAATACCTACTTGAAATAGAAAGAACAGAACAAGGGTCAGTGGAAGACATTGTGAAAGACCAAAGTGTCCGCAATTTGTGTTATATAAAATACACGATTTGAATGATTGTGCTGAGTTAGTGTTGGACGTGTCTTGCCAACTCACAGTTTTTGTTAACGTCTGTGAAAAAGTGATTAAGAAATACGACTGCTCTATTTGTTACACATGAGTGGGTTTCAGTGATAAATATAAGTGTGGTTTTAGTAAAAATATACATTTCAACTTGGAAATATTTGGGTCATAAACGTTTTTTTCAGATATAGTACAATGGCGATAAAATTAGCGCCAATAATATTGTGCTTACTGCATTGGTCTGCTGTATTATCTTCTCCTCTTTCGTTGTCAGAACCCGCTAACACATTAGAAGCTATTGAAGATGTAAGTGATTCTGAATCAGTGGGCTCCTACATCAGGGAAACAAGAGCTGCGGTAAGTAATATTTAATAAAAAGCCAATACAATATTAGTTGTACATGTTGGGTAATGTAGTTTATATTTATGCCAATTAATGTTTCTGGCCTAGTGGTCTTTTCAACCATAGGACGGATCTCAATGCTGTTTCTATTCGAGATTTGCCTCATTAGTATATTTTTCCATTGACTCGTCGGAAAGTTCAATCGCATTCTAAAGGTCTGGCATTCAGCACGCAGCCGTCCAAAAAAGGAATTAGCTAAAATCTTTTGCAATATTACAAATTGTGCCGACCCGATACTTACATTGTGACGAGAGCAGGATAATCATATGTCTTGTGGGTCTCTCAGTAATGCGTTGCATCTGCAGATCTGATGAACGAAGAACGACATCTTGCAACTTTTTAGTTTAATGCTTCAATTTCCACTAAAATATGTTTTAGTAAAATTAAGAGTTGATTAAAAAATTTTTAATAATATATTTCACACATCTCACACACCGTCCTCTAATCCCAAACTAGGCAGAGCTTGTACTATGGTAACCAGACTGCTGATAAACATTCTTATATATTTAAACAAAAAAAAAAAAATAGATAAATTACACCCAGATACAGAACAAATGACCGTGCTCATCACACTATATTTGTCCTGGGTGGGAATCAAACTCACGACCTCCGGTTTAGCAGTCAGGGTCACTAACCACTAGACCAACAGGCCCGTCAAATTAGTAACACTGATGACTACAGAAATAAATATCATTTATCATTTATGATATGACTAGAAAATCATATAAAAACTAAAAAGATAATTTAATAAAGCCAATATCCTTTGGAATTTACTATTTACGCTTTCACCAACAGTATGATGGCGATTACTACAAATCAAATGAGAACGAAGGCAATGGTGAAATTGGATATTCTCGTAAGAAGTCCGGTGGTGGCAAGAAGGGATACCAACATTTCGACTCCTTTCACAAGAAGGCTGGAGACAACTATGAATTTGAGAAGCAAGACTCTTTTGGCCTAGACGATAAAGGACAAGATGGAGCATACAGCCATCGCAACGAACGCAGAGGTGAACCAGCAAAAATTATTCGAAGACCTATAAAATTTATAAAAAAAATCTTGAGATGGTTTTAATATCAAACTCACAAGCTCTGTTTTGTTAAAATATTTTAGAAAGTATATTTACTTTTATTAAAAATACAAATAAAGATGGTCATTATTGATATTGGCCTCAATTAAAAAAGTTAATTTTGAGTATTTTCCTAGACGACTTCCTATATGTACGGGTATTCAAAGAATAATCGTCGAAAGATTAATGTGTGAAAGTTTAATGCAGAAAATTTCCATTAGCATACATAATATCATGCAGACCATAAAAATAAATGATATTGATTAACATATATATACATAAACGTTTTCATAACTGTTTGTTATTTACTGAAAATATTATATTCCTTTTAAATAACTTACGAAATACCATGATGTTACAGCGAACAGAGATGATGGTAGGAAGAGAGAAAGAGAGCCTGAAGAATTTGAGGATGAACATGAAGAAATCGAAGATTCCCACAGACAAAAAGCAAAACAGCGAAAAGGGAAAGATCATGCTGAACTGAGGTGAGTAAAATAGTGACTGTAATAGTACCTTTTCTCTTAAAAAGTTGTTAACAATTAAAAATTATTTATGTATCAAATTAGGAAAAAAGCCTTTCCTGGCCTGCTGGTGTAGTAGTTAGAGCTCCTGATTGCCATTTCCACCTATATGGCAATCAGGATATGCCTGATTACCACCTTGGACAAATAATAGTGTGGTGAGCACTATTATATTTGTTCTGTATGGTCTATACCCCATACACCAGTCTAAACCTTCGAAGAGAATTCCTGAACTCTTTATTTTTAATCTATTTCGTGTACCTATGCTCTACAATATTTTTTTACTGCAATTATTTACAGGGAGGAAAGTCCTAATGAAAATGGTAGAGTGGAATCTAGTGGCCATGACCCCAAAGATTATACGCTGCCGGAAAGATACACTTATGGTGATCCTGCTACAGAATACGATTTCTAGATTAAGTATGATAAATTCGAGTAAAAAGATGATATGATATTTCGTATAGAATTTTAATACGGTTCTGTACAATGTTAAAGCTTGGACCACGTTATCCATTTATGTTAACCACCCATCGTTGACTTGTTAGTTTTAAGAATACTCAAGACACACAAGTAATATTCACTATACGACTAAGTTTAATGACTTTTTAATTTTCTTTATCGTCTCTTACTGAAATGTCATCATAATATACATCCAAAATCGAGCTTGACACATTAATGTTACTTTAGGACCATGCCTAACATAGGTACATGAGTCATTCCGTGAAAATTTGCACCGTGACTATGTGGACAAAGCGGACATTTTTTAAAATTATTGTTTCGAATTATATTATTATTCGACGCACTGTATCTTAAAGATCTAGAAAAACTTTACTTTACTTTGGAAAATGTTTTTTTTTACTAGATATTGCCATTATTATCAAGGACCATGACTAAACTGTGTCCATTTAGTGACAAAATGATTTCTTTTTTCTGGAAAGATAAGTCTTTTTAAATTTTATTTTACGCTCCCTGTGTGAACATAATATGTTATTCTACCTATAAAAAATAATACAACTTACCTTTCGCAACATTAATGTTGTTCTATTCATATGTTAAAACCATTTCGTGACGTTTTGAATGAAAAGGACTACTTTTTTCATTTTTTAGCTACTTCAAATGCTTTGCAATGAAACCAAACTTGCATTAGGATGTAAGCATGCTAGTGATATAATTATTTTATGAAATTAAAGTACAGTATAATAATATATTCCATCATAATCGATAACGATGGTAGGACAAAAAAGTGTGACTGTAACTAAATAGGAAATACTATCGTGACTAAATATATACTTAGGCAGCGTTCATAACAATGCCAAAAGGTGATGAAATAAATCTTGAATATAGCATTAAAATGTGCTTCCAAATAAACAGATTGTGTTGTAGTTAATTAGTTCTATACCTACTTAAGTCATATAGTCTAAAACTAATTGTTTTTATTTAGAGCGTTAGTTAGTTAGGCGGGCTAGGGAAATAAAACAATTTATATTTTTAAATTCAATCAACAGTCTTAATTCAATACGTAGTTAGGTAATCATTTGTAATAATTTGTGATATTTCCTTTTCAGCAATAGCTTCTGGTAGTTCTTCTATTTTATCCACTTGTTGCAGAATTTGAGGTTCACAATAATAATTATAGTTAGTCATAGGATCAATAAATAATATAGAATCGCTGGGCTTCTTTTTCTCAATGGACTGCTTCGAACATAGGTGAGATCTTTTACGTTTGATAGTTTTATTAGAACACGTATCTTAATTTTCGTCTTCGCTACTACTTAAAGTGCCGTATACTTTTACATTTGTAACAACTTGTTTTGGTGGCTCGCTATAATTTCTCTCATATGATAATATGTCGCAATTTTGGTTTATTTCAAGTAGATTCAATATATCCATATTTTTTAGACCATAAAATGATGAATTCTGTGTAGTTAATTTGACGTCTGATAGAATAGTAACCTTTGTATTTTTGTTTGAATTTTGTGTTTTTGACTTTGGTGATACGTCTTTTGTACATTTTATAATACTATTTTCTTTATTGCATTTTAAGTCCGATAAAAGAGTGACATTTGACGATTTGACGGAACGCTTAACTTGGTTTTCTTTGTTACTTACTGTTTTTTTAGGCGCTAATACTTCTTCCTCTGGAACTAATTTTCCTGCAGTTACTTGCAAATTATGTCTTCCAACTAACAATGGTTTAGCTTCTCGGGAAGTATTAACATGGTTAAGGAGGGTCTGATCAAATTTTCTAGGAGCTACAGTAGTGTCCATTGTCTTTTCAGTTATGCAGGTATGGTATATATTATTTTGAGCAGTATTTTCAGTAATGTTAGCGAATATTATACTAGGAAGGTCTGAGTCTTGACAAAGATAGTCAGTATAAGAGTTCAGTGTATCAGGAGCTATGTTGCAGGCGTCGAAGTTTGTCTCTAGATTAAGGTAAGTAGTATTTGGTGTCGTATCTTTGGTGAACTTTACTTTTTCAGTTTGGCTTGAATTAAAAACTTCTACATCGGGACCAGAACCAAGATCTTTGAAAAAATAATGCCTAGTTGGGCTCAAGCAAAGACACAGTCCTCTTTTACAAAAACAACTTAGCTGCCTATGGAGTATTTCATTTTTTGTTGTTGATATTATTTGATGTATTTGCATTGTGCCTGCAACTGCTTTTAAATTGTTTGGTATTAGTGTTTTAATATTTTCGATATCAGAATTAGGTATAAAAAAGGGCTTTGTGGAAGTCATGCACCTTTTTAAATTATTAAATGCATCAGTAGCATTTGAAATATCATGTCCATAACAAACACGACGATCTAACGCTCTTTTTGTGGCACCACCTATGCCATCTGCCACACCTTTCCCATGGCCACTTTCTGAAAATGACCACGTTGTCATGGACAGTTTCAGTTTTTCGGTAAACAAGTTAAGTAGGAAAAAATTCTTTTTTTGTCTGTATTGGCTGCTTGGGCCATCCGAGAAAAAGTGAATTACGGATAAATTTCCGCACATTTGCTTCGCTAACTTGATAATTGGAATAAGGTGTGCCCAAATGGCATGAGGTTCATGACAGTTGCTATCTGATAAACTTACAAATGATTGACACTGTGTTTTTAAGAAAATCATGCCGGTATGCAGAGTAATCGAATTTTTAGACCCGCCGAAATGAAGCGACTGAATCTCTTGTGCCAACTTGCAGTCGTAGTTTTCCGAAAAATCAACCAATATTGCACATTCATTGGGCTTTAAATTTTCAATACACTTTCTGTATTGACGTTGCTGCTCCTGAATATTGTAGAAGTGTTTTTTATATAAAGGCAATTGTTTTTGAAACTCATCTATTAGTTCTTGAATTGTGCCAACTTTTCTTTCTTTTTTTGTTACACTGGCTATCATATCCTTGTCATTTTTCTTGTATGACTTTTTTGAGCGTTCCCACTGGCACCATTCAACAACAGTATTTTTATCAGCTGTAAAATTTAGGGATTTATACCGGCATGAATCGCACGCGTTGTACATACAACTTTTGGAATTTATGTCACATGACACTAGTTTTAAAAGATCTTTTCCAGATTGATTTTGCAGTTCGGAAATAGTGTGCTTTTTAATAGCTGATACCACAAAATTAAAATTACTATGTTTAACACAGAGGCATGTATCACGAGAGGCATTGGTCGGCGACAGGATATAAAAAGGTTTATATTTGCAAAATGTAGAAAAACTGTATATTCCTCCTTCTTCTTTATATATTTGGTAAAGGTTGTATAAAGTATCAGTAAGATACCTTATTTGCATCTTTTTCTTCTGTTTCGTTCTAGTCTCACGCTTTCCGGACGTCGCTCTGCTTATTTCGTCTCGACTGTAAAATGCCTCTAACATTTCTTTTATGTTTTTGCTTAGGAATCTCTTTGTTTGGCTAAATCGTATCCTGGAACATTTTAGACCTAAACTTTCTGATATAATTTTTGTCACGCCTTTTTTTGATAATGCAATATTGTTGGATTTGCTAATAGAACGCAATACTTTTTTTTGTTCATTTGTTTTACAGTCTTTGTATTTTTGTGTTAAAGCTATTTCCAAAACTTCGTGCCGTGCTTTTAACTTGTCAATTTCAAGATCTTTTTCTCTATTTTCTTTTTCTTGTGTCTGTTTTGTTCGACTTAAAGTTTTACGTAGACGCTGATTGATTTTTCTTGCTTTGCTTAATTGCTTAATTGCTGAATTATAGTTTCTTATTAAGTTTACATATTTCTTTTTGTAGAAGTCGACGGATCTAGAATCTGCTTTTGGAGGTGTTGCAGCAATTTCTTCTTGTTCGCGTTGTTTCTTGGCTTCTCTTTGCCTCTTTTTCTGTTGTCGCCAGACTTTTCTTGTTTCATCTTTTTCGGTTTCGCTTAATTCTCTTATTTTCTTTTGTCCTTTCTTCACTCTTGCAATTTGTTTTTTTCTTAGCTCTTCATATTTTTCTGCATTTAATTTTAATTTTTCCCTATAGCGTTTAGCACGCTCAGCAGCTGTCAGAACCATCACTGGAAAAAATAAATACATCACTGGAAATAAAAATAAATACAGTAATAATAAGTAATCTGAAACATGAAGCTCCATGGTATAATAAACCACAAGGCTGTAAGCAGAATGTCACACACAAATTGTATACTTTAGATTGGAAGAATCTTAACAGAATATTTTTCCCGCCTTATAGCCGAATGTAGTATAAAATAGCGTTATAGAAGTTACATAAAATAACACCAAAGCATTAATGCATCTTAAAAGGTTAAAATTAACTGCATTAAAATTTACATGCGTATTTTTTTCTAGCAAAATTTTGAAATTACAAGTTTTTCAACATACGGCTGAATTGAACCATATGTAGAACAAAATAGTAACGCCATTTGTTAACCTACATAATAACAAGCTGAAACTCGGTGCATTTAAATGAACCAGTATTGGAGAACCAACATTAAACCCTGAACATCATTTGTCATGAAAGTGCTAAAGAGCCCATACACGATGGGTTTACGTGAACCAGAAACGGAGAACTCCTGGTAACCATTTGGAACCAACATCAGTTCAGGCATATTAATAACTAATTAGATTTATACACGTATCCCAAACTTCAAATAGTTAAGATCAATTTTTTTTAACCTTAATTTGAACTTGTCATAATTCCAATTTTCTTAAAAATCACCCCACCGTAGCCTTTTTTTTTTTTAGCCCGATATTATTTATTCTGAAAGTTTCATCAAAATCGTTTGAGACGTTTTCGATATTTATAAAATACCACGTATAAGAATTGCTCGTTTAATACAATAGGATAATATTTATATTTAGTTCCTTAAAAAAAAAGAAAAAAAATACAATTAAGTACGTGTACTTATGTGGTACACATCACATTTGTCAAAAAAATTTTTAAATCAAAGTTGGGTAAATTACATTATGAACTAAGCCTTACGTGTCCATTTCGTCACGAAAATTGTTCCACTAATATGTCACGTGACTAAATGGACGTGACGAATCGTGTTTTGTCCTACAAATTTGCTTAACAACAACATTATTTGCGCTTAAAAAGAACATCACACTGCTTTATTGCATATTCAAATATAGTAAGCTTTAATTAATAATACAATATTTATAAAGTAACTTACCAATTTGACGTAAAATTCGCAACTAAACTGGATATCTTATTTAGCTTCCTGATGAAACGTGTTCGTCGTCACAGATTCTACACAACTGACAGTATACTTATGAAATAAAATGGTTGTTTTCGACTGGTAATATTGCCTGGATGTAAAAATAAAGATGTTTGGGTAGTTTCAAACTTTGGAAGCAGTGTAAGAGCCGTGACTAAAGTGGAATGTCCATGTGTACCCAAATGTTGGTTGACGATATTCCACAAGAATTTGATTCTAAATTAATGTAATTATATATATATTTAGAGTTTAAATTAAAATAGACATTACAAACTTTAAAAATACACCAAAAGAAAGAGCTGACAATGAAATCTACAGCGAAAATTTATTTTCTTAATTTTTACATATTACGTGTGACATACTAAAATTATCATTTTTTTTGCAAACTTTATTTTATAATTAATTAAATCGTATTATAATTGCTGATTTATATATTTGTTTTTAAAGTTAATCAATCCATCTTTTAGCTAAAATAAAGTCTATAAAATATCGGATTAGTCAATTAGTAGTAATAATTTCGAAAGTGTTGTGACCGTGGTTTTTGCAGTGGTGCAAATTTGTACGGAATGACTCACATACCTTTAATCCTACAGATAAAATAATAACTTGTTACATAATACGAACAAGCAGATGTACGGAGGACGAACCACCAACATAACAATATCACCTGTCAATTGACACCTTATTATTTTCATGTAAAACATTTAATGTGGAGACTTGCTGTTGGTGTGACAACGCGACCCCACGATATGCGTCGCCATGCCTTGAGACAGTATGTGTAACATGTAATGTGGTGTGCCGACATTACATATTTCTTTTCGTTTCTATCTTTTTATAATCATAATTTCTAAAAAATTATTTTGATGTTTGTTGTTGTTGTTGCCCCCCAACGTCACAATTTTTCATTTTTTAGTTTTGTTTTGATATAAAGTTATACTAAAAGCTTCTAACTACTAACTGTTTTATATAAATCGTATTAAATACTTAGATCTCAATCTTTTTCATAATAAATTTACTACCCATTTTGGATGTTCTCCTTTCTAGACTGATAGATTTTAGACATTCGAATACAGGATTTTTCGAGATAAGATATATGTCATTTAGGTTAGGTTAGATTAAAGATTTTTGATATAAAGATATGGTTTAGGTAACCTAAGTATATGTCATGTGAAAATTCTACCGCAATTATTTTTATATAATGTAGGTACCTAAATAAAAAACAATACATTTATTTCGTTAATTTGAGTTTTATTTCTAATTTTATTACATTATTATTATTTTGTATGCTAATAAACTAAACGCTGGCAGAACATAATATGATATTTCACGTAAACGTTATTTGCTAAGAACTTTTATCTAGGCGCTTAGCGACTATTTCGAAGAGAAAGTTTGAGGCACCGTTTTGTTCTTATATTTAAATTAGATTGAGGATTTGGGGTACTATTTTGATATAGAATTGTTATAGAATTATTTGATTCAATAAATTTGCTTATACTATGTATAGTAATGATGTATTATGGTGGTTTCGCCAGGAAAGATACTCCCCTGGCTCAGCCACTTTAAATAAAAGTTTATGTCGAAACTAGAGATAGGACTACATAGAATTTTATAGACATTCCATAGACTTTTTTATGAAACTTACACTTGTCAAAGCAAACGTGGTTACGTCAGGGAGTATGACATCAAAAAATACCGCAAGGTATTTCTAAAAATTATAATTTAAGATTTGTTGCAATTAGACAACTAAAATATGGACCAAAACAAAAAGTGATTCTATGAGTATCTTAATATTAATTCTTATCTATTTTTTTTTTTTTATTAATTGTTAAAATGGGTGAATTCGTTTGGAAGTTATGATAAGTAATAACAAGTAAAAATTGTAGTAATATATAGACATGAACAAGTAAGTATCTTTACATATGAATAGTATAAAATGAAGTAGCGTCCCGCAAGTTACTTATATTTTAATACAGTTTTCGTCAATAGAGTGAATCTTTCAAGAGGAAGATTAATAAATGTATACATACATATTATGGACTAGGAAAGGCTAGAATTTCAAATTTTTTAAATGTGATGTAAAAAATATATGTTACATTGCATATTACATATACATAGTCCATGTGGTGACGGATGAAGAATACAGAGTGTCACCACCCCTATTCATCACGTGTAAGGGAGTACCCTTAGTCGACTCTTACGACACCCACTGGACACCCAACAGAATTAAAACTTGAAACAGACCCTATACCAACCCGTCTGGCCAGCGTCGTATAGTAAGCCTAAACCTCCTTTCTAAGGAGAGGCCCATGTCCAGCAGTGGACTAGTAAAGGCTGTTGATGATGATGATGATATAATACATTGCAAACGCTGGCTAAACCTTGCTAGATAGATCAAAATAATGAACTACGGAATTGTATACTTTAAAAAGATTACCAAAAAGTCGAAAGTATCTCATTGTCTCCTTCTAACGATAACCCACACCAACCATTTATATCTCTAACATTTTACAAAAATATAATGAGTTATTTACGAAGCTTTTTTAAACAATACAGTCTTTTAAAATCGTATAGTGAAAGCGTAACTAACAAACAAACTCACTTTAACATCATTTATAAGTTCGTTTGAAGATTCTGTTTCGTACATACGCACACACCTACTAAGCTAATAAAAGCGTGTTAATAAATAGCCGCGGCCGTAATTACTTCCACGTCCATCATCATCATATGCAATGTATAAACACCTACGCGTTGTTGGCCTGCATTTGCGTATTGTGGAGCCTGACCCAATACTATCCAATGAGCCTTTACTTATTTAATTTATCATACGTGAGCTGGCCACACTTTTTAATCGCTTTGTGGAGATACTCGGTCATGTATTCAGAGCACAGAATTCTTAAAGATGTACATATTATAATATAAAAATATATAGATTACTAAAGAATTTATTTATATATGAAAAATAATTAGGCGATGAGATGTTGGCCTAGCATTGCAATAATAATAACCCGTAAACCCAATGTTTTGCTATGGCCACACTATTAGACGTTGATTTCATCGAGACCTTCGACTTAAAATAAATACTTCTAAAGGAGTATGACAAACTCAACGCTAGTTACCAATCAGTGTAAACCTAAGTATATCTAAACACAAAAACAGCGATACGGCATGACGCTGTAATATGTTTTGTAGTTGACTAATTATTTACTTTCCTTGAAATGGAACGTAAAGTAGCGTTTAATTTTAATGCAAAACATTAAATTTATAATAAGACTTTAGACTTATTAATATTATTTTCTTATAACTTTTTATGATTAAGTTATATGAAGATAAGAGAGAACTATTGCCATTATAATATTTTGTAAGTGTTTAGTCTGTGAGTACGATTCCGTGAGCACTTTTTTTGTTGAAACTAAACGTACCTGACATTTGGGAACGAGTAGTGCGTATGTATGACAGCACATTCAATTTGACATTTGTTTTGCTTGCTGTAGTCGCACAAAGTATTCTTCGCTATTACAAAAAGATAAATCTTCGGGCCTATTCAGTGCAAGTTGTGATGTAAATCTTTATCTATCAGAAGTGCAATTACAATGAAGATTAAAACTTTCGACGTTTTGGCGACATTGTTGCTAAATTTAATACAATACGGTTGCTCGGGTAAGTTGTAAGTAGCCGACAATTATTTAATTGAATCAATTTATCCTCTGTTACGCAGTGTATTCTTTTTAACAGAGCACATCCTGTCCTGCAATGTGTCCATATATGGTACATGTCCGGCGCTACAGACATGTAATGAGACGACATCGAAATGCGATTGTTTACGGGGGTTTATTCGCATAGGGGATGATTGTGAGAAGCCGGACAGCAACGTTACGTCGTACAGTGGTGCAACAATCGCCACAGTCACGATATTCACTCTCGCTCTGCTAATAGCAGGAGCTGTATTAGTTATAAGGAAATACAATTTAATTGAGTATGTTCAACAAAAAATCCGATCAAGGAGGAATAATGACGTAATGTATGAAGATGTTATGATCGGGAATGATGATCCTCCACTTAGTCCTTAGTTCGTGTGTAAGTTTATTCTATAGCAAATAATGATTGTTATACAGACTCAGACAAATATGGGTTTGAATGTATTGTTTTGTATATTATGCTGTCTATCTGTGTCAAAACTAAAATATCAATTTTGTTACAATATCCTCACTAAAAGTAGTTTTCAGAAACACTGTATTGGCTTACTATCGAACAAAATGGCAACCGTTGCAACCTGATGATCTCAAAACTGTGCAGAATCATATCTATGACTGAATATACAAATGTATGTTTTTATTCATAGTTAGAAATTGGTGAAACAAATCAAAATCAAGTAAATATTTTAATTTAGCCGCCAGGGGCAGGAAACAATAGGTATAAAAGACATTTATGTTGTTCAAATAGTCATAGTGACATGCATTACCTCGTAGTAACCAGGAATTAAATAGAACACCATTTTATTATCTGCGAAGGCATGTCAGCTGTTACGTGTGATATGTACGAGCACTTTGTCTAATAGACAATGTACATTATTAAGTGTTACGTGAACTTTAAACTCTTATGCAAGATAAATTCTATTGACATAGGTAAAATAAATATGATCCACGATTCTAATATCACATCGTTGCAATTAAACAATACGTGTCACTTTTAGAAAGACAGCAAATCAAAATTTGTTGAATGTGCTGATGCAGTATTTAAACATATTGGCAAAACACCAAATATAATAATAATCTAGAACAACAACATACGCACAACAAATAAATATATTTAAACCGTTGTCTGTCTGTTGTTGTATTTAAAACAAATGTTTTCAGTGTTGTGGCTAGTAATACATCAGACTTAAGATGATTCATAATTTTTGCAAAACAATGAACAATTTTTTTTTTAACTGATATCATTTCATCTTATCATACTGTTCTGTATTTGCTTTGACTGCAAATAATTACCAATTATTATTAAATAACAATTTTAACTTTTTATTTTTTTTATTCAATTTTAAATTTTTTTTTTTATCGAGAAACAGAATAGCATCATGACTTAATTCAATATTAGACGAAATTTAATTCAATATTATATTTAAATTCACTTACATGCAGTTTGGCAGTCAAGCCTATCTCTGCTATTGCAGGTATCATAGTTGACTGTCAAGCAAAATAATATATATATAATATGCTATAACATCCTGTTTCTTTTTCATTGATTTTAATTTTTTGGTTTAACGGTTAAAAAAATTAAAAAATAATGTAAATCGGTAACAAATATAATTTTTCACTGTCTAATATCATATTTAATTTCATGAAAAGTAGTAAACAATTTATTTCACAAAATAAACCCTAAAAGTACTGCAGTTATAAACGTCTCCAATTAATGAATCATCTTATTTCTTTATTTAAAGTGTATTTATATTTATTTGTATATTTATGAACATGTTATTATCCTTAATGTGGTATGGAAACAATATGGTCTCTAGTTTTTCTTCAATTCTGTTTCTGACATTAACAATATGGCTAAATTTTTTTTATGGTCGGAATCAAACCAAATAAACTACACTGTGTTATACCCTAATAAATATGCCTCAGGGATATTTGCAGATATCAATTTACTATTACTCCCTTATTATTTCTATAAAATTCTATCTAAAGGTAAATTTGTTGGCTCACCTGAACCTAAAACTTGTTGGCTGCAGACAATTTCATCATATTTTACTCTTAGTTTAGTCGACATTAGTTTCGAAATTCCTCATTTTTTAAGAGATGATATTGCTTATTCCGTGGGTGTCGTAAGAGCCGACTAAGGGAACAAACTGCACAGGACACTGCAAAAAGTAGGAAAACTTGAAACAAACCCTATACCAACCTGTCTGGCCAGCATGGTATGGTAGGCCAAAACCTCCTTTCTAAGGAGAGGCCTATGTCCAGCAGTGGACTATTATAGGCTGTTGATCATTGACAATGATGATTGCTTATTTAAACGGATGTTCTCTTACAACATTACAAAAATGTTAATGACCCAGTATAAAATGTGTGTATATTGACATTCTAATAATGTTAGTAATTTATTAATTTTAATGTTTACCAAGGCTACACCATCCCCAGATGTAAGAGTCCCGGTACACTTAAACAAGCTTTCCTATCTATTGTTTTAGAATTGCCTAATTTGTGATCAGGGTGATTTTGTCTTACTCGTATGTGAAAAGTGATAATTTGAAGTAAGAAATTACACAATCAGTAAAATCTAAGATTAACACAACAACCATTCAACTTTTTAAAAGTTTATTTTTGTATGAAGAAAGTAAAAAACTAGTAGCTCACAGTTTTTGTTTTTAAATATAAAAAGTTACAACAAGTAAACAGTTTTGTTAGTGTGGAGATTTTTTTCCATGTAAACAACTGTTGGTGATAGTACCTATATTTATTTATTGTGTGTTTATTTTTCTTATTTAGTGTTTATTTATTTATCCTTGTGTATGTATTGCAATGGAATTGTGCTAGCTACATAATTCTCGGACATCATACTGTAATGTATTGATAGGGGTGTCATAATTATTAATGTAAATTGTTCAGACGAGGCAAGACAACCTGGTCGTGTAGATGCTGCCATATTACCAAGACAGGTAATTATTATTCGTAGGAGGTAAAAAATGTATGGATGGTGTAATACATAATTTTAAACATAACTATCTCTTAGACTTATATGTTCCATGATATATTATTGACTCTAGAATTTTTATAGATATCTATATAAATAAATAAAATTGGAGTGTCTGTTTGTAATATTAAAATAACCGCTTTTTACTGAATGCATATGTATGTTTACACGGTACATATGCCAAAATAACATTTTTTACAATTTTTGTCTGTCTGTCTGTTTGTTCTGGGTAATCTCTGGAACGGCTAGACTGATTTCGACGGGACTTTCACTGGCAGATAGCTGATGACATAAGGAGTAACTTAGGCTACTTTTTTTTAGACTAGCTTCGCCCCGCGGCGTTGCCCGCGGTTATAACAACAAACGCGGGTAACACCGCGGGTCTCAGCCAGTATATAATAATAATATAATTATATTTTTTTGGATATCTTACACACAACGCCCCATCCAGTTTCAAACTAACCAGAACTCGTACTATGAAAACTATACATACCTACATATTATACATAGAAAAACACCCAAACTCCGAAATATATATTTGCAGTTCATACAAACATTTGGTCCGCCCCGCGAATTGAACCCGATACACCAGCACAGCAGTTACATTCGCTACCACTGCAACACCGAGGCAGTCGATAATCAGTATACTAGGTTTACTGACAGCCTGAGACCACGTTCTGGTTGCGCTTGCCGTGATGTCAGGCAATTCAAAGGTATTTAATACCTATTAATTAGGAACACATGTTGTTTAACTAATTGAAACATCCACATTTCTTTACAAAACAGGTAGAGATATTAATATACTAGCTGGTGCCGCGTGGAATTTGAAAAACGCTGGCATAGTAAGTTCGATTCCCGGACCAGGCAAAATTTTATAGGGTTTTTCTGAGAGAAAAAATAGCTTAAGTTACTCCTTATATAGACAGCTACTTGGTAGTAAAATATTATCAAAATCAGTCAAGCCGTTTTGAAGATTACCTACCCGGAATAAACAGACAGACAGACAAAAAATATTTAAACTGGTTTTTAGGCATAGGTATCGTGCAAATAACCATGTAAGCATGAAAAAAAAAACTATTATTTTGACATTACAAACAGACACTTCAATTTTATTTATTTGTATATAGATATAGGTTGTCTATTCATTTTTAAGTAATTGCAATATCATAGCTTAAGCATGCCATTAGTTTAGTTTTATTTTATTGTTTGTATTCATTTATATTAATCATTAGATCTTTATTAATTGCTTCTGCTCAATTTAGCCAAAGACTGATGGTGTTGCCAGTGACAGGCGATATATTCATTTAAAAACTATATGTTGGTGTATTAATTATATTATATAACTAAAACATATATTATTGTATGATATTTTTACTATTATTAATAATGAAAAAATGTTAAGAATATAAAGATATTTTTATTATTTTAATCAGTGGGGTTAGTTTTGTTTAATATTGTTTATCAACGCACAAACACATTTATAATGCAAATAAGTTACAAAACCAATGAAGTATTTATAAATATGTACAAACCAGTTGTCAGTGATTTATTCGTTTTAGATAATCCAATTTGCAGTACAGCATGAATCTTCCTACTAAGAGTAATAAATCGTTGTGTAATTCAGCTGGCCAGTTAGACCTTCATGCAAATTTAAAAATGTAAATGAACCTGAGGGGCAAGTGCGAGTTTATTTCATTTCTACACGATTGTCACGTTGATCGCGTTCGGCGCTTAGATTGGTCCGCACTGAAATCTCCACCAATAGCGCGCGCGCTCGCCATTGAGAGCGAGTCGATGTGAAATAAACTTGTTTGACAGCCCTCTGAACTTGTTTGACATGTAACAATATTTCGTCTCGCTCTCCTCTCCGTTTCGTGAAACAGGACGGAAGTATGTAACAGGGAGTCTTGGAAGTGTGCGCTGTGGAGTTGGTCGTGAGATGTCAGTTGTTACACAATATATGTAACTATTATACGACTCGCTTTTTTTTTATACAAAAATAGCTTTCATAATGAGATCAAATTTGTTTTTAAAGAAAAATATATTGTTATTAAAAATGTATACTTTTGTGCTATTGTATTGCACTCTGAAGGCCTATTTTCGTAATTAAAGTTCGGTCTGATCAACTTTTGATATCACAACTGTCATAAAAGGCATTTTCGTAGTACAATAGTAAATTATTACTAAGACTAACAGAATACCGATTCAATTTTCGGTTACAATACGATATAATCACATTACAGTCAACGTTGGATATTTAATACTTACTGCGAAACTACCTTTTATGATAGCTGTGAGATCGAAAGTTGATCGGAACTGAATTCAGACCGAACTTTTATTACGAGAATTGGCCTTCTGGTGCTTAAAAACGTCTTACCAC